AGAGTTTTTTCCTTTCCTGTCACTCCTCTCTGTTAATAAAGTTTGTGTAGTCTATATGTGGCTTGTTAATGATAGGACTGTTAACCACCACAGTTAATCTTCCTCCACAACTCTTTCCTAATCCAGTCTTTTAAACAACCGTTTAAACAGCTTTTAACTCCTTGAATTGGGTGCACTTGGGCTTTTTGGTGGAGGTGGAGTGATAGTTATCAGGCCATTTAACAAAACCTGAGACAGCCAGGACAGCTGTAACGTGCATCTCTATGGTGTGTTTTTGTTAAAATGCCACACGGCTACTACTTTGGAAATCATCAATCCAGTGGAAGAAAACATCTTTATAGATGATGTTTTACTTTTATGCCATTCAAGTAACATATACCCAATACCATCAGCATTCAATTCCATAAAGAACAAAGAATAGATATAGAGCAGATTAAAGTACTTTTTAAATTTGGGTTCTTTTCATGAGCTCATTTCTCTGTCATAAGGCTGGATGGGACAGAGTGAAGGACTGATTATATGTTATTAGTGTTGTAGATAATATTTAATCTTCACCCAAATCATTTGCTAGTTCTCGTCCAGGCAGGCTGTCTATGCCCTAGAGTAGGAGAGTAGATCGAGGCCTCAGTCTAACTTACTCATCCAAGATTTTTTGTTGTTGTTTCATTTCTCCCATGTGGTAAAGACATTTTATTTATAACCTTTTCCTTTCCTGAGATTCAGCTTTGGGCTTTTTCCACTAATGATGATGTAGAAAAGATACTGTATTCTTAGTGGGTTAGGAGAGATTTTATTGAAACCTTTTAAAAAACTATCAAGGCATCATTGTAGTCCATCTTTTATAGTAGTTAGCCTGTCTCCTTCCTCAAAAGAGCTGTCTTTGGCTTGCCTGGTGGTACAAAGCATGCTAACAGATGCCTTGTTTTAAACACTACCAAGCTTCCCTAAAGGCAAGCTTAAAGGGCATACGCTGTCTGCCATCAGTCATGGAGAGGTAATAAAAATGTGTTCCACATGTGGCCCAAGACAAGCCACAAAAAGATCTAGCATTGAAAGCAGTGACCAAGAAGCGAAAGTATAGGAGCAGCTAGGTGGTGCAGTGGATAGAGTGCTGGCCCTGGAGTCAGGAGGTTCTCAGTTGAGTCCAGCCTCAGACACATAAAATTTACTGGCTGTGTGACCCTGGGCAAGTCACTTAACCCCATTGCCTCCCCCCCCCAAAAAAAGACCAAGACACAAAAGTATAAAGCAAAATTAGTATAAATATTAGGTAGAGGTCCAGTGTGGGTAGTTCTGTAGCTCAAGGATTGGTTTGTTCTTCTGTTGAAAGAACCAACCGTGAAATTCATCATTAACTTCCCCCAGCATTCTCTACAAGCTCCTCTATGTCTGATTGATGAGGATTAACTGATATTTTTAAAATTCTTTACCTTTTTGTCTTATAGGTTCTCTTCCCTTCCCCACCTCTCCAGCTACCCCCTTCTCCTTTTCGGAGAATTCATCCGTTGAATGATCTTGCTTGTCAGCAGCTTGGAATGTGAATTCCGACTGTGCTTGACTTATATCTTTGATATCTTTCTGGTGGTTAGCTCGCCAGCAATCTGGCTCAAGCTCTTTCTCCCAGCAGACTGCTGGAAGGAACAACCCTAGTGTTCAGAGGTCTGTGTGGCAAATTTGCCTCATTGCTGAACCAAAGCCTTGATAAAACCTGACAGTACCCCTAGCCTGTCTTGTCCCTCGGGGTCCTAGCTGCTGGAATTGATCTATGGATGATGCCTTTACCAGAAAGCTCTCCACCAGTGCTCAGGAGAGAGAGGGTCAGAGCCGTTTTGCTTGAAAGACTTTCTCTAGAAACATGAGAAGCATGAGGCCCATCCCATGGGAATTTCCACAAGGATAAGGTTGCACTTGGATGCTTGTCCTCAATTTCTTCCTGCATGGTATCTAGATTCACCTTAATCACTCCATCATCCTGCCAGCAACTGTCTCATTTCTCATGCTGGTAAGTCGCCTCCTCTCATGCTCAATGTGAACCACCAGTCTTTCTGTTTTATCTGGTGCAGGCCACGGCCCTTAAATTGTCCATCCAGCTTTGTGTTTCATTTGACCCTAATACACTGGGTCGAGCTGTCTGGGAGAGAATTATGTCCCCTTGGCTGTCTGAGTGCATTTCTCATTTCTCACTGCTGCTCCTGAGCAGATCTGTAACTTCAAGGTTAAGATAAGACACATTCCATCAGAACCATGTCGTCATCCTTGCCAGCTTCTGATCTGTGACTGTCCGGGAGATTTACCGGACAACTGCATGCCATTCTTTACGGCATATTAGGGTTGGACTCTGACTCTTGGCAAAAACTCAGGAGTTGATCTGTCCTCGGCTGTTGTTGAACCTGTTTCCCAAAAGGAAAGGGCCACTGCCCCTATGGCCCTTAGGCATTTCTTAAAGGTGCCCCTGGAGGAGAGAAATGGGTGAAACTGCTTCTCCCTCCCAGTTTAGTGGGGAGAGGGAAAGGGGAGCAGAGAAGAGGTTCAAAGCTTTGTGTGTTTCTCCCTTTGCAATTATTTTATTCCTTTCTTGAATGATCCCACAGAAATTCACTGCTGCTGACGTTTTCCTCCACCCTCTTACTCTCTTATACTACCAGTTGCTATTAGTTACTCCTTTCAGCCTGCAGTCCCCAGAGCAGTTCTGACTCTCCAATGGTGATGATGAGTGTTTTTGCCTTTGAGAACTGAACATACCTGGGCTTGTTCTCTGAAGGCTTATTAGTTCCTGCTGCTTCAAAGAGCAGTGCTTCCCAAATCGACTATTGTTCCTCTTTTGTTGCTGCCTTTACTTGTTTAGCTGTAAGGGTTACTTTACCTCTCAGCATGTGATATAGTTTAGCAGTTCTGGAATTTAGAAGGTCAGAGATTTCCTGCTGTTGTTCCAACAGGATCCTAGCATACCCTTACCCTTCTCTTGTCTTTCAGCCTTTTGGTTTTCATTTAAACTCACTGCCTTGTTGGGAAGGAAGGAATGGGAGAGAGGTGGTTCACTTTACAGTAGGGAAACTGAGGCTCACTGTACTCACATAAGAATTCTTATTTCTAAAGTAGTGCTTTGCCCACATTCCCCAGATCAAAGCTATAGAAGAATTAGTAAGAAAAGGCAAGATTGGTACAATCATTTGACGTCTGCTAAGTGGAAACCTCTGCAATTTTTATTCCACGGCTTTCTTTTTGATACCAACCTAATTTGAGGAAATCTTGTAATTTTTGTATCTTGTCATTTCGGCGGCACCCCGGAGTCATTTGCTTTTTCTTTACAATCTCAAATAACTGCTAGCCCCTGATTCCTCACATTTAAGTATTTTTATTGTCCATATATATAGCTTTACTAAAGACTGGCCTGTGAGCCAGAAGAGGATCTCGGGTCCACAGGACAGATTCTTTAGAGCTAGGAGAAATGACTTTTCGAATTCTAAATTTGCTGGTGTTTTTCTCTTTCCTCTTTGTTTACATTACATTTGTTTCCACATTTGTTTACATTTTCTCACGTATTTGTCTACTCTTTTAATTATTTTATTAAGATTTCAAAAGCATAACTTTGAGCCAAAACAAAACACCAGAAATTGTACCTGAAAGGTTTACTTTTTACAATCATATTAAATAATCCAGGTAAGCAGTGGATGGAGCCCTGCCCTCAGACACTTTCTCAATTGTAAAATGAAGGTAATAACAGCACCTACCTCACAAGGTTGTTCTAAGTATCAAATGAGATAACATTTGTAGAGTTTTTAGCAAAATGTTTGACATATAGTGGATGCTTTGATAAATGCTTCTTCCCCCCCCCCCCGTATTTCATTCCTTCTTTATTTTGTTAACATAACCAGTGTCTTTGAACCAAACGAAAAGTTGTAAATCCAAGTTTTTTTAGTATTGGAGCCTTAAAATTTCGCTTTTCTTTCTTCACAGTGAATTTAGTGTCATGGGACCTGAGTTCAAATGAGGGCTGTGCCTTTGTGACCTCGGGCAAGTCATTTACTTTTGTGGGCCTGAGTTTCCTCACCTCTAAATTATAGGCGTTGCCCTCCAATGCCTTACCCTGTGATTGAGCTGACAATAGAGCCTCTTGGAAAATCTCCAGTGGAGTCAGATTAGGAGGAGAGTGGCAGTAGGTTTTCTCTCCCCCTGGAGTCTGGAGTCTCACCCCTTCGGACTGGATTCCTTCCCTCCAGCACTTTTAATTCCCCGGTTTGTGTCTATGAGGTGGGAGAAGACTGGAGGAGAGGGCCCCCGAGGGCTGGAAGAGTTGTTTGGGCGACCACCCTCCCACTCCCCTGCGGAGTCCCCCCCTCCCCCACTTTCTTCTTCCTCTCTCCTTCCTCCTGCGTCCCTTCCTTCGGCCCCCCCTCCCCCCCTCCCCATAAGCCGGGCTTTGAAAATCCCACTTGGAGGACTTTTCCCTGGGAAGTCGCCTGCCTAGTTTGCGTCTTCGTTTCCTTGCCTGTAAAATGGGGATGGGACCTACTACCTTCCTTCCAGGGTTATTGTGAGGCATAAGTGAGAGTGTCTTGAAAGTCTTTGCGAACCTTCTAGGTGCTTGTTATGCCAGCTGTTATCTATTTAAATTTGTTTGATTGTTCCGGAAAAGTTTGTGTTTGTGTTTTCCAAACGGTTTGGTTGGGTGACTGCTTTCTATAGTGGGTTTAGGTGTAGACCTGAAGCTGTCCTGCCGCCTGGGGCCCAGGGAGGCGCCAGCCAACCTCTCCTCCCAGTTTTCACTGTAAAGGAAAGTTCAGCCTTTTAACTTTTCCGACTGCCTCTCCCCCTCTAGTGCTGCTGCCAGTTGCCTAGGCAACGCACCGTGGCAGCTGCGCAGTGGCGCCTAGACAGCTGGGTGGGGGCGGGGGAGCTGCCACCCCGCCAGGCCCCAGACCTGGGAGGGGAGGCCCCTCCTATTAGCCCAGAAGGGAAAGAAAGAGCTGGGGAGATCCGGTAGGTAAAAGAGGGGGCCATCATTCTTCTTGCCCCGTTTGGGCCTCTTTACTGCCTGAATGTGCAAGGGGAGATTTTTCTTAATGCTCCCTCTTCAAACTGAACCGAAACAAATATAAATCCCTCTTTTCCCTGGTGAGGCAAAAAGAGGCCGTGGCCACAATGCAGTTAAACACAGAGCTGGTTTTCACCCCAGTGCGCTGACCCAAACTGCCATGCTCCCGGAAATTCCAAGGTGAGTGGGGGGAGCAGGGGGGTGCTGTGCTGGAACACGACATTTCCTGTCTCTGCTGAGGTCGGTGTCTGCTTTTATTGGTCATTTTTTCTTTCAAATAAACCACATTTCCCCCTAGAGAAGCTTAAAGAGCTTTTCAAAACTGATGGAGAATGAACTTTTAAATGCCTCTGCCTCCTTTTCCTTCTTTTCTCTTCCTTCCCTTCCCACCTTCCCTAATCCCCAATATGCAAAAAACTCTTCAGTTTCACTCCAGGAACAATGCTGGGTGGGGAATATTTGTGGGGAAACCAGGACTCCTTGCTGGCTGGATTTTTAAATCCCAGGAGTTGTAATTTCTAACTATATCCATTGATTATGTCTTCCTCAATCTTGTTTATTTGAAATTAATTCATAAAAGCAGTTTCCACAGCTACCTGCTTTTTTTCCCTCATCAACTCAAGTCATAGTGATTATTCTGTCTTAAAGCATAACTTTTAAGAGTCCTCTCCACTTTTCTGGAATGATCTTCTGTCCAGAAAGAAAATTTTGCTTTTCTCAAGGCACACCGAAGCACTTCTAACGATGACAGCAAAGCCAAAATGGACTTTTGCCAAGGGAACAGTTTCTCTTACTCCCTTATCCCAGATAGTAGGAACCATTTAACCCAAATAGAAACCCCAAGATGTTGATAGTGATGATGGTGGTGATGGTGGTAATGATGATGACCTGGCAGTTTAAAAACTTGATTCTCTGTTGAACATCCCCTAGAGTACATATTTCTCAGCTTAACTCAATTTCTATTTGTGTTCCTTTGCCTTTACTCTAGAGTCTAGCTTATGAATAGCCTCTCTGTATTTCTAGTTCCCATGTTGAAGCTTCAGACCGGGGGTCTTCTCCTCCTCCTTGGCTCAAGGGTCAACCTCATTTGAGGAGAGGAGAGTTGCCTCTCTATCTGTTCGTACTGGTTTAGGCTTGGGAATTATTAATAGATCATCTTCTACTTTTAATTTCCTGTGTCTAATATCTAAGCATTTCCACTGTACCCACTCTCCCCATCCTTAGCAGAGATAGGCTTACCACAAGCAGAGTTTTAAAGGTGAAGATAGAGAGAAGTGTTGAGATTATCAACTTTGTTAATATCCCCGGAGAAACAAACTTAGGTTGCTTAAGGGAGTCCCTAAATTGTATTGCTGAAGAGCCATTGTTCTACAATTGAGGGCCTGGTCAAAATTATCAGAGGAAGAAAAAAATGTGTTGAAGTGGCATAATTTTTTTTTTTAAGAATTGCATTCTTTAAATTCAGTATAGCTTAAGTTGCCCCTGGGCAGGTTTTGAGGTGATGTGTCTGTAGGCTATAATTCTTTCAGAATGGAGGTTTTTCACGTACTTTTTTTAGTTTCTTGGCTTGGATTTGAACACCAAAATAGGCAAGAGTGTTCACTTCCTGAATATAAGCCACTGAGGACTGACTAGGCTGGCCTTCAGGGTCCTTTGTAACCTCTAATAACAATTTTGGAGAAAAGGGTTTAAGGGTAGAGTTGTTTGCAGTTGACCCATTTATCGATGGACTTCTGAGAGCTGGTCTCTGACACTATTCCTTTAGAGACACAAAACTCAATTACTCAGTTTCCCTGGTTGCAGAGATTGAAAAAGCTTAAGCTCTCACTGTGGCTCCTAACTGCCTTGCCCTTCCCATTTGCAGGAACCGGGTGGCCTTAGTCCTTCAGGTGAAACATCGTGCGCTATGGGAAAGAAAACCAAGCGAACAGCCGATAGTTCATCTTCAGAGGATGAGGAGGAGTACGTCGTGGAGAAGGTGTTAGACAGACGCGTGGTTAAGGGGCAAGTGGAATACCTACTCAAGTGGAAAGGCTTCTCTGAGTAAGTCCCTTTTTTCTCTGTCTGTCTGTTTGTCTGTCTGTCTCTCTCTCTCTGGCATTAGTGCCTTAGGAATTTATATAAAGTTTTCTCTTGGTCCTCTTTTCACCCTCAGATTGCTGGGAGTCAGGGAGTGTAGTGAATAGAATGTCAGACAAGGAACCAAAAGAGTCTGCTTTACTTTTTTCAGCTCACTTGAGGCATCAACCTTGGTGTGATTGCCACTGTTTCCTCTGGTGTTAAGTACTATGAATTTTGGAGAAGAAAGATAACCATATGAGGAATTTTTCTTTTCTGGGAGTGGGGAGTCAGTTCAAGTAGGGAGGTCTCTATTTAACCAACACTAGGAGAAATATTTGATATCCAAGTGATTTAAAAATTAATTTGAACTCACTCTAGAGAGCTCTTTGTAGACAAAATGGTTCTAGACCTGTTATTACACCATAGGGCAAGTTGCAGGGGTTTTCATCTAGACATCCCGTAGGTGTCTCAAATTCAACATGTCTAAAACAAACTGATTATCTTTCTAGAAAACCCTTTCCCAGTTTTAACTCATTTTTCTTTTGAAAGCATACCGTTGTTCCAGTCCCCTAGGTTCCTGACCTCACAACCAGGTTCTAACCTTCCCTCTCCTTACACCTCATAGGTGATAAGTTACCCAACTTTGCCTCTTCTGTCTCCAGCTAGATCAAGCAGCTGTCACATCTCACACCCTAGTTCAGGTTCTCAGACATCTGTCTATACTTTTCCAATAGTCCCCTAATTAGTCTCTCTGCCTCCAGTATCTTCTCTCTCCAGTACATCCTCCTCCCTGCTGCCAAGGTGATGTTCCTAAAATGTAGGTCTGACTGTGCTCAAGAAATTCCAGTGGCTCCCTCTTGCCTTTAATCAGATATCAACTGCTCTTCTGTTTGTCTTTTAAAGCTCTTCACAATCTAACTCCAGTCTACATTTCCAGGCTTATTTTATATTTATCTTATTCACATATTCTAATGTTCCAGCTAAATGGGCCACCTTGCTGTACCATCCCTATGACCTAACATGTCTCCCATGCCTAGAATGCATTCCTAGGATCATGCAGTTAGAGCTGGAGATGATCTCAAGGCCCATCTCTTCCAATCTCCTCATTTTGCAGAGGAGAAAATGGAAGCTCAGAAACGTTAAGTGATTTACCCAAGGTGGTCCAAGCAGGATGTGAACACATATCCCCTTACGCCACCCTTCCCACTCTTACTATGCTATTCCTTCTTCACCTCTGTCTCTTAGATTCCTCAGAGTCCTTCATACTTCTGTTCCGGTGCTCTCTCCTGCTGCAGAAAGCCTGGCCCCATCACCCCAGTTACTTGTGCCCTGGAAATTGTTTTGTGTTTTATTGTACATGTTCTGTGTTTCTGACCCTCCCTCTCCCTTTTCCCCGTTTATCTTTTAATATCCCCAGCACCTAGCATGGTGCCTGTCTATCAATTCATTAAGTACTTGTTAAATTGAACTGATTGCTATTCTCTTCTCTTTAAAGGAACTCTTGTTACAAGAGCTTGGGGGGGTGTTTTCACACTTCACTTATACACTTAAAATGCTCTCTTTATGCTTTTCTTTCCACCAACTCCCCTCCTCCCCAATAACTGCAACCTCCATTGAGGGCAAGGGTCCATGATCTCCAAATTTTTATATATTCCCTAGCCTTACCACACTCTCAGGTGATCAATATATGTTTGAATCAATACCTGTCCTTACCGTATATTAAAACTACTCTTCTTCGGGGGGGGGGGGGTGCGCCACTCAGCAGGGAACTAGAACTTATGGTAGATATAGCCACCTTTCTTGATTGGATGTGACCAGGAGCCATGGGGTCTTATAAAGAGTCTTTGGAGACTGTCCAAAGCAATCAGCTACAACCTTTGGGTAGAATCAGAAGAGAGAGGGGGACATCAGGGCCCACTGGGGAAAGCTTTGGTTCTGGAATCAGAGGAGCCCATCTCTGATGCTTAGCTCTGTGTGACCTTAGACAAGACACTCACCCTCCTTGGATCTGAGTTTCCTCATCTGTAAAATGGGGGGGATAGAATTAAGATGGTCTTTGAAATCCCTTTGAACTTCAGGTATCTGATCCTCTGACCCTCAAGCTGCCTGAATTATTGAGAAGAAGAAAAGAAGGGAGGGAGGATGGAGAGGCAATGGAATTATTCCTCTGACTGGAGAAGGTGGACATCCACGCCTTTGGTACAGATGTCCTCCCCGTTCTGATTCTTTATGCTTGACAAGCAGCTTTCAGATATATGGTTGGAGAACGGTAACAGCAACCTTGAGGCATTTCCTGACCATTACCCTTTCCCTGAGCCCTGCCTGGTGACCTGGAGCTCATGGGTGAATGCGTTGCTATAATGATTAAGCACTCTAGAGGACGAAACTCCTAACATTTCTCTTGTTAACTTGATTAAGTAGGAACTGATTCAGTGAACCAAGTAGAAAACCTGGTCATATTTGGAGAAAACTGTGATAGTTCCCCAAATTTGACCTGTACTATTCAGTTTGACAACTGCAGAGATAAAGATGCTCATTTTAACCTAATAAAGCAGAATTACCATTGCCTTGATTTTACAGATGTTGGGAAATTACTGAATTGGATGATCATTGTTTTAAAAATATTTTTAAACTTCTAGACAACATTTTAGTTTATAGATTCAAGCTCCCTTTATAGCCATCACTGGGTGAATGTTAAAAGCCAAAGGGCTTCAACCTCAGGAAAGACTTGAGCCATTGCCAGTTGTGAAAATTCACTTCAGCAAATATTTATTAAGAATCTGCTTGTGTGAGGTTCTGCGCTAGGTGCTGGGGACCTAAACACGAGAAGCAATCCTGGCCCACCCTCCAGGGGTTTGTGTTCAGTTAGGTGGCTCTAACCTGTATCCAAGTAAGTAGAGTAATTCAAAGAGAGAGAGAGAGTGAGTATAACTGGAGCATCCAGAAAGGGCTCACTTCCCTGCGGGGTGGCTCATAAACAGGAAGCTAGGGGTTGACTTAAGCAGCAGAGGTGGAGAGGAGTACATGTGTGCAAAAAACCCAAGGTGGGAAGAGGCTTAAAGCGCTAAAGGCTGAGGACTGTGTGCTTCATTATAGAGGCAATAGGTAGCAACTGAAGGTTTAGCAGTGGCTGTGACATGAGTCCATATGTTTTAAGGGTAAGGACTGGAGCTTTGATTTCATTGGGATAGGAAACTCCATTGAGGTTAGTGCCCTCTCTGCGATTGAAGAGTCTTAGGGATGCCCAGACTTGCCCAGGATCACACCACTATGATATGTCAGAGGCAGAACTGGAATCCAGGGCTTCTTGACTTGCTGGCTGACTTTCTATTCTACTCTACCAGAGATGTCAAACTCAAAGAGAAACAGATCATTTATTTTGTTAAATGTTTCTCAATTACATTTTCATCTAGTTCCCATTTTACTTGGGAGTTTTGCCACCTCTGCACTCCACCATGCTCCTTCAGATATGTTTTAAGAGTAACAAATTTGGTAGCTGTGTGACGTCCCTTTTGGGTCTACTAGATTCAAGCACGAATCTCAACCCATAATGTTGGGTGCACATGAGGAAAAGGGTGGGAATGTAGGGAGATATTCCTGTTCCCACTAGGCAGTACCTACATGGTCCTGGCTTTCCACTCACACCGTCCTCATTGTAGGCACACTTCCTCAGCTCTCCTAGTTCAAGGGTGATAAATGGACTCTCTTTACAATGACTCTGTGGAATGACTTTTGCCAGTTTTATAAAGGGAGAAGGCAGCTGAGCTTTAGAGGGGTTGAGGGTCTAGTCTCTGGCCACATAACTTTTTGAGTCAAATCTGGGACTCAAACCCAAGTCTGTCTTATACCAAGTCAAAGGCTCTTTCCATTGCCACATTTCTACTTATTCATTAACTTTGGGTCCTGGGGGAGCAAAGAGTGGTGAGATGCTATCCTTGCTATGAGGATGTGGGCGACTTTTTGGTTCTTACTGTTGATTCCTCTAAATAAAGGGCTTGAGTTGTCTGACATTTAATACTGTGGGATATGAATTAAAATATGAACTAGGTATTTTTAGGATGATTATAAATCCAATGGAACACTGATAGAAATGCATTCAGAGTCATTGATAGGTGATCTGAAACCTCCAGACATGAATCTTCTATCCCATGTTTCAGGCTAGATAAAGAAAGAGGAGATGGGCATTTTTTTTCTTAGTTTCCTCACCCTTACTGGAAATTATACTTAAGGTTTTCTAAAGGTTACAAAATGCAGAGATTGTACAAAGTCTAAGATGTATAAATAAGGTCTTTGGTGAACTCTGTCATCAGCCCTGTTAGGGAGACTGGTTAGATACAGTAGTCTTCCAAAAACAGAAATTTGGGCCCATACCGATAGTTATCTTTTCTTACCCCGATGGTTTGTGTAATGCTCGGTAAGTTCCTTACTGATGCGTGATTTCCTCTGGGAATGATCAATCTCTTTGAACTTGGGGGGAAATTATGATGCGAGAAACTTCACAACCGAGGAGGGGAAATTCAGTGTACATTTTCGTCTACACCAGGAGAATCAGTCCAAATGATTCTGAAATGGGTTTGAACTCAATGAACTGTTTGTTGTTCTTAGGCTGTTATTTGTACCGTAGGACAAAGCTAGGGAGGGGTTCTTAGGTGGTATCACTGGTTTGCTTCCTTCAGGAGCCTAGTTACTGCAGTCCACAGGGTATGTTCAACACTTCTGTGCCTAGAGGATGAGACTGTTAAACCTGTGCTAGTTGGAGTCATTCTTTCTTTAATTGGAAATTGAGGCTTTCTTCAAAGAAGCACCCAAGGGCAACCTTTTAATGGAAGCTAGGCGTGGGTATTAGAGTTTGATACAGGAAAATGATGGTAGTTTATTATGCTAGCTTTGGTTAGAGGAAATAGAAAATGCCTAGTTTGACTTACCTTGCTGATTCTTTATACTTCTCAAACACTAGTTATATGTGTGATTTTTGTTTCTTTGAGACAGAACCTTGGATTTTATCAAGTAAAATGAAAGCTGGAGACTGTTTCTCAGTTGTGCATTCAATTCAACACATATTTCAAAGCCCTGTGACCTAAGTTCTTTGCCAGGCCAATGGGCGAAAAATTCATTATATAGAACACCCCCCGGTCCCCAACATATTTATTATGTTGATTTTCCTGATGTAAAAACTTACTCAGGCTCCCTCGGCGGGCATAGAAGTTTTCAGAAACTTAGTGGAGGCAGAGTCCACTGTGATGGAGAGTGTAAATTTCATCTCCCTTTATGTCACACTTTGTGAAGTTGACATGTATGTGGCTGATCGCCATTCCCATTAACAGTCCTTTGTTGATTTAACTATTATTGGTGTTTCTTGACGAACATAGGGAAGGAAAATGGTGTTATCTCAGACACAATTTGCCACTGATACGTGGCCATCATTTTACAATCACATCTTTTCCCTGCAGCAGCTCTTCTCCAGCCATGGTGCAGTTTTCTCACTCTTGCTTTCTTTCTCCTTCCCTTTTGTCTCAGGGAACATAATACCTGGGAGCCTGAGAAAAACCTGGATTGCCCTGAATTGATCTCCGAATTTATGAAAAAGTACAAAAAGATGAAGGAAGGTGAAAACAACAAACCCCGGGAGAAGTCAGAAAGCACCAAGAGAAAATCCAGCTTTGCCAACAGTGCTGAAGAGATCAAGTCAAAAAAAAAGAGAGAGGTGAGCTGGCATCTCATCTTTTTTTCTTCCTCTTTCCTTTTCTCTTTGGAGCTCGTTTAGTGGGATCTGATTTGGGTCCTGTTAGCTCTCTTCCCAGAATCCTTGGCAGAGGGTGAAACACAGGCAGGAACAAAGAGCTTTCAGGGAGGAATCTTGTCTCCTGCTAGTGCCCCCTTCTGGCTGGGAGAGGCAGGCACTGTGGTCCCTTTGGCCACAGCTGGCTGTTAAGACGGCTCTTTGTAGTGGCTCTTCTTCTGTAGAAGGCAGAATATGATGGTCCCAGGAAGGGTGTGGGTTGGTGAGATTTTGATGATGGGAAAAGACTTTGAAAATGTCCAAAGTTTTACTCTGCTCGCCTTCCTGCTTTGTCGCAAAGGTCATTATTATGCTTTGCCCTTTTGGAGTGTTTTTACTTCTTTGATACTATTTAACTGTTAGGCCAGGGTTCATGTTATATTGTTTCCTCTTGGCTCAGCTCAGTCATTCTGTATTTCATCTAGTTAGCCTTTCAGTTTCCCTGGTAGCTAGCACAAGCTGGGTTTTGACCTCGTACTATATACACCTTAGGATCTTAAAATCTCCAAGCTCGGAGGGAACTGAAAAGCTATCCTATCAAATACTCTACTCTTTGCACTCTTCTTCGCTGCCCTGCTTCTTCACTTCCCACCCTCAAACCCCCCCCCAAAACAAAGAACAGACATGAGATCATTCTCCTGCTTAAAAAAATACATTATTTATTCATTTCACCTAAGTCTTTTGATATTACCTCCACTAATAGCCACACGGATCTCAACTCTGTTTGGTTAACAGTCTTTGAAGGAAGTAAAGCATAGTGAAAGAAGCTTCCTGATTTGGGAATTCTATAGAAGAAAGCACTGCTTGAAGTCTTTGAGTATGTAGTTTTTAATCACACCACAACTCCTCCCTTTACACACACACACATCCTCCCCAAATGCTGCTTAGATAAGAGCAATGAGGGTATGTTTTACAGAGCCACCAATTCTTATTCCAAGAAAATGGTAAAGGTCATTTCTTAGGCATTTGTAGCCCTCCGCATTTTTAGGTGATGTGGTACAAATTTACCTTATTGAATAGCCTTTATAAGGGCCAAAGTAATTCTTCCCTCTTGGTGAGACAGAAAAAGAGATCACCTTTACCCAGAATTGAAATGAATTTGAAAGTTAAGGCTCTGAGAATACGGATGGGCCATGGGTTAAGTGTCCCTCTTTATATTTCCCCCCTTTGACTGCCTTATTTGAAGAGCCATACTTGTCCTATTCTAACAAGTTGGAACATCGTAGTGACATGGTACTAGGGATTTCAGTGTGTCTTCCTTCTCTCGTTAGAAGAGGAAGTCTTGTGCTTTTTTCTCCCCATTTTTCATACCTCATGGCAGGTGAGAGTTAGCAGAGGGGTGATTCTCCTATAACTCAGCTTAGGCAGGGGAGTGGGGGTAAAGTTAGGGAGCAGAAAGTGCCTGACACTGAGCTTTAGCAAGCCGTTGGTTGGCAGCTGCTTTCTCAGCCCAGTGTGCTGTACTAAAAGGAATGGCTTGGCCTCAAGCCACTGGCCAGGGTACCAGGTATTAGCTGGGCCAGATTCAGAATGGAGCCGACCTTGAAAACAACCCTCAGCCATCCTCTGCCTCTCTCCTCTCATCTGGGGGCCCCTGGTGGCGTTCTCAGTAGTGCTAGCACATGGCAGGCAGCTGGAATGATCGGTGAGTGTATGTTTTAAAGGTACAGGAGGGGATTGCATTTCTTTCCTTAAACCACCACAGAAGAAATTTGTTAGTCGGCATTATGCCTGATTTAAGATTACTGCCTGTGTGATGATTTTAGCATTTTCCTCGCCTCAACTCCTTTTTAGCAGCTTAAACATTTTTCTTCCATTTTTTTCTCCTTCCCTCCCTATGTGGCAAACTGTTTTCAGCCGCCTGCTATGATTTACAGCTCAGTCTCTGTGCCAGCATTCCAGCTGTGAGCAGCTGTGTGCACATCTGGGAACCTTCTCCCCTTCGCTCTCCTCTCCCCCCAAAAAGAGAGAGAGAGAGAGAGAGAGCTATGTTCTAAGAGCCAGCATCTCCCTTGATCCATGGAGTTTCCTACTCAAATGAGGGTTCTGTTGGGACCTTCTGAATCCTTTATGCTTTGTTTCTCCCAGAAGAGAGAGAAATGAGTATCAAATTAAAGATTTTATTATGAAAATGAAGCACTAGAGATTTCTTTTATTTAGGTAGACTCTTCAGATCTGGTTACATGTTGCTACTCAATAGGTTAACAATTATCATCCTGTAACAGACTTGAAAATGAGCTTTTAAAAAATTCATGGTCTGTGAATTTCAAACATCAACTTACTAACAGCCAAGTTTACAACTAGGGCTAACAATTGAGGGTGAACTGGAGAGAACATTGCATTTCAGTCAACTCTGGATAATCCCCTAGTGAATTAACAGTGACCTCATCCCTCCTCCTCTACATCCATCTCCATCCTGGAATGTAGACTATAAGATCTGAAGCAGGAGGGGGCCAGGGCCAGTTAGACACAGAGACAATGGAGTGTAATAGGATATAGGTGTGGAGGACTTCTCTGCATCTCAGTGCCATAAATCCTGTGGCCATTCTTATATTAGCATAGCTAATTGTTAGGTGACTGTTGGAAAAGTAGTATTGCAAATGGCAGATAGTATATGTAAGTGTCTGACAGTAGATTCCACACCAGCAGTCCACCACTTCTGTTGAGAAATGAATTTTCTCATTGGTCTCCTGAAACTAAGATAAGTCATTGCATTTAATCTGATTTTTATGTTTGCTAGGGTTTTTTTTAGCATGTGTTATTGTAGTCACTGTGTATTGTATATTGTTCATCTGATTCTGCTTTTTATCCTTTATCAGTTCAAATAAATTTTTGAATTCCTCATTATTTTCTTAACATTCTGTTACATTGCATTCATATATCACAACTTGTTTAGCCATTCCTCAATAGTGGGTGTCTCCAGTATTTTTTTGCTGCTACAGAAAGTCCTGCTCTGAATACTTTGGGGTATGTGGAACCTTTCTTGTCATTGGCTTCCTTTGGGGGGGGTGGAGGTGTCCTTTCCTAGTAAATAAGATCTGTGGATATGAATAGTGTAGTGACTTCTCATGTAATTCTAAATTGTTTCCCAGAATGGTTGGACTACTTCACAATTCCGACAGTATTGTATTAGGAGGACTGTTCCACAGCTTCTCCAACACTATTTTTTATCATCCTTGTCAGTTTGATGGATATTAAGGTGAAATCTTAGAAGTGTTTAATTTCTTTATTATTGATTTGGAGCATTTTTTAATATGGTTGTTGCTATCTTGCATTTTTTTTTCTTTTGAAAATTTTATATCTTTGACCACTTTTCTACTGGGGAATGGCTTTTAGTCAGGACCTTTCATTCTGGAAAGATGAAAGTTCAGAACGAGATGTTGGAATATGCTATGACCACAGGGAGGTCCTTGTTTCACATCCTCACCCTCAAACCAAGGGACTTGAAGTTTAAAAGAAACAGTTGTAGAACAAATAAGAGGTACTCATCATGTAGCAGATAGTAAACTTAGGGAGCATACATTTTTAATTTATTTTTAGAGGAATTGAAGGCTATTTGGCACCTGTCTCTAACCTTTCGAAGGCAACCCTGCCTTCTTATAAAATGGCTTCGTGCCCTAGTATCACCCATAGTACATCTAGAAGGACCATTGTTCCAGAGCACAGCCCTTTAGAGATCTACTGAATGGAAGCCGATGGCAGCTAGGTGGCACAGTAGATAGAGCACCGGGCCTGGGGTCAGGAAGATCTGGGTTCAAATCTGGCCTCAGACACTTAGTAACTCTGTGACCCTAGACAAGTCACATACTGCTGTTTACCTCAATTTCTTCATCTGTAAAATAAGATGAAGAGAAGGAAATGGCAAATCATTCCAAGTATCTTTGCCAAGAAAACCCCAAATGGGGTCACAGAGTTGGACATGACTGAAAACAACTGGACAACAACTGAATGGAATCAAGCCTCTCCCCAGAATTGTAGGAATAAATAGAAGTTTAAGTAATTTGAGTTGGTGAAAGTGTTTTTAGCTTAATTTAGGTTGCTCCCAGTAGATCAAAGGAATGGTCAGTAGTATTCTTTCTCCCAAATTGTAATGCCTCCATTTTTGTGCTTGTAGCAGAGCAATGATATTGCCCGGGGCTTTGAGAGAGGACTGGAGCCAGAAAAGATCATCGGGGCAACAGATTCCTGTGGAGACTTAATGTTCCTAATGAAATGGTGAGAGTTTGGGTCTCTTTAGTTCAAGCAAGCATTTACTGAGTCTCTGCTATCACTGGACCACAGGCATGGTCCTGTGTTTTAGGGATACAGAGACAAAAGAGAAATTTATGTGTAAAATAGAGCAACATTCAGTATTTCTGAGCTCGGGAATATTGATCATCTTCAGGATCCATAACCCTTTAGATGTTCTTAGAAAGTTCCCCAAATTAAATTGATTTCTTTTTTTTTCTGACAGTGCAGTTCTGGTCTAGCATTGTTAAAAAAGGAAACCCTCCAGCTTCACTAGTAGAACAAACTCTTCCAATAGAGCACATGCTATTTACCAGGGGAACTGTTGTTGTTATTTGTACAGTATTATGTAACTAGTCTGTTTTTGTGATCAGAATAAGTCATACTCTATCATGAGACCTGATGTGGCTTGGAGAAGCAAAGGCTGACTGAGGCCTCTAGCCATTATTGAGGAAGAGATTTTCAAATTAAGAGATTAAAAAGAAAACAACTGTTTTTGCAATCAGCATTATTAAGGCCAATACTGTCTGAAGTTATCTTATCCGGAAGAGGGAATGGCACTTAGCAGAGTAGAGTACTTCCCCTCACCTCTGTTCCAGCTTTGCTTTAAAAATACAAGGTGATTTATGATACACCTCTTACGGAATGCTGCCTTCTTTCTGATTCCAAGTGCTCTGAACTCAAGATGAAGTCTGGTCTCTAAACATTGGGAGGGCTCCAGCTTGAGTACCACTAAGGAAGCTAATTACCTTAGAAGTGGTTTAATCAGTAGGCTTAATATTTTATCTGATGGAAGAGCTGGTAGTAAATTACTAAGAGGCCTGTGTTTGAAGAGCCACTGCAGTCTATGGAGAGGAACTGGTAGAGACTGTCCCTTCTTATTCAACCACATCTACTCCCTGTGGTTTTTAAGTCAAATTAACTAGTTTTTCTACTCAAAGTCCAGACTTAAAATCCCTGCCCTAAGTAGGCTTTCTTTCTGCACAAATGTCTATATTCTCCCTAACCTCTTGCTCCCCCAGTTTAATAGTTGACTCTCCTATAAAACTGGAAAGTATAGCATTTGCTGGCCTTTCAGCTGAACCTCATGATTAAGATGCGTGCTGCAGCTAGCTCTTGGTTATCCATGGCAGTGGGAGAAGGCTTGTCCAGGATGTAGGGTAACTGAAATTCACATTTAACCCGAATCTCATTTTAGCCAATTCCAAGTGAGATATCTCCAGCTGAGCAATTTATAAGAATTGCTGAAAAATTGTAATTATTGACCGAATTGTGCTTCCATTTCCTTTTGTTTTCCTGGCAGTGGTAATAGTTTTAATATGACCATAAGGAGGGTGTGATCCACAATAAGTTAATCAGCCTTTTAATAATTAGAAGTTGGCCTTGTATTTAAAAGATCACAACCTACGTGGTAGAAAATGATGAATGTTCAGTATGAACTATACAATTTGGGGTTCAGGCCTAATTCTTTGTTTCTAGTTATTGGAGCAAGTCTGTTGTGATGAGGTTGTTAAGTGCAATGAGCTTGAATTTTCAGTTCTCTCATTTGAATAGCCATGAATTTCACTTGCTTAGTAGCCCTGGGTTTCCTTCCCTCTCCCCGGAGACTAGGTACAATGCAAGACTCATGAAATGTTTGGAATGTGTTTTCTTGAATTTCCCCCTTTTAAATTTGCCTTTCATTGTATAAAGCCTCTACTTTCTCTTCTGCCTTGAAATAGTATTTCAAGTTAATAGGACAAAGGGGTCGTATTTTCCTTGCTGAACCACATTTTCCCTATTCACAAAATGGGTATTGTCACATCTCATTCTGTGAAGTTGCTTGCCATTGGCACAGACCTTGTTTGGATGCTTTTTCTGTCTGTATCCTCAAGCTTGTTTTCTCTCTCTAGGAAAGACACCGATGAAGCTGACCTGGTCCTTGCAAAAGAAGCCAATGTAAAATGCCCACAGATTGTGATAGCATTTTATGAAGAAAGACTGACGTGGCATGCTTATCCTGAGGACGCGGAAAACAAAGAGAAAGAAACAGCCAAGAGCTAAAGCAAGGGTGGCCTCTGTCATTTCTCTTTGTATATATAACACATTCACTTCCCCACTGCCTCCCCTTCCCCTTCCAGCCCCACTAGCCCTTCTGTCCTAAACACATCCATAAAAAAAATGTGCTTATTACTGTGCTACACAGAAGAAATGTTGGTATTGGTTCTCATAACATAACTGATGGTCTGATTCATGATGTGTCTCTAGTGAAGACCAGCCATTTACATACTGTGTGTAATCCACCCCATTCTCCCTTTGCCCTGACTTCTCCCCTTCTCTTCTCACCCCCATCCCCACCCCCACCTTTGCCCTGAAGATGATGTTTAACTTTTTAATCATCTTAGAGTCTTGATCTTTTTCAGGATTGGATTTGAGGGTTTTGTTACAATGATGATCATTTTAGTTATTTGCTTTGGTTTCATTCAGTGTGTTGATGACCAACAAGCCTCAGAATTGAGGTGTTGGGATAGGATGGGGAATTTGGGAGATTTTGCAGGCTATACTTTGCCTGGTTTTTTGTAAAGCCACTAGCACCTACCTCCCTGCTAGGCTTTCCCCAACCCCCAAGAATACAGTGTGCCCAGTGAGGTCATGTGAGCCCTGCTCCCTAACCTCCCCAATAGAAATGCTTAGGGCCCTGGAAACATTACAGAAATATTTCTTGAAGTACCTTGGACCCCTAAGCTCATGTCTTTTAGCAGGCTTTCTTTGTTTCTGCAAAAGAGTCCAAAGTGACAGGATTGTTAACAGTTTGAATTGTTAGCTGTAGTGCATGTGGATGGGGAGGAAACCTAGTTCATTTTTTTTTTATTAACATGCAGTATATATATATTACTCTCTTCCTTTCCTCTTATCTGGACTGTGTATTTATGTAGGTGTGAGTGACTACCTGGTGCTTGTGCCAAGATCCTGGGTGTTCTCATTTTCTTCTTCTCTCTTTCTCTCTCTCTCTCTTTCTCTTTCTCTCTCCCTCTTCTTTTCCCTTTCTCTTGTCCGCCCCCCCCACCTGTCTCTCTCCTTTCCTGTCTCCCTCTCCACCACTGCCAATTCTTTCTTGTAGCCTCCCAAAGCATTTTTAACTACCAAAGAGGCTTCAAACCATTCCCTCAGTACTCTTTGTTCTCCTTACCCACTCCTACAGAAGCTAGGTCTCTTGCATTCCCCATTCTTTCCACACGCCATCATTATAGTGGATAAAGGGGAAGCTCTCAGAGAAGAGCCATTGGCTACAGCACCAGCTATGAAGATGCATCATATTTAAGGTTCCAGATATCCTAACTTTCTGATTGTGGCCTCCATTCGTATTTTTCCTTTAGTTTTTGATGAGATTTCCTCACTTGTTTTCTGGAATGTAGCCTTAGTAAGGAACTAGCTGGGCAGAAGGTGGCTAGACATTTGCATCTTGAACTTCCTGTTGACCTTCCCATCAAAATAGGTTCCCCTTTTGGTTTCCTGATACGGTGTATCTTGGTCCTACCTTTCTTTCTCTCTTTCCTCCCAGTCTAAGAAACAGGTCACTTATTTTTCTCTTTGTGGTTGGGGTTTAGCAGATCAAGTAAAGAAAAGGCAAGAACTTAGGGATCCTAACTACAGTCCTAGTTCCATAGAAATATAAATGTTAGAGTTAGTCTTAACTCTCGGGATGAGCTGCCCCTGAGGCTGGTTTTGGTTTTTTACACACTTAACTCTCTGGCGAGGACCATTCTACCATTGCTAGATTGTTCAGAGTAAAGGGAAGTAGACATATTTCTCTAATCTGTAGATTTCAGATCAGATGCAAATCATGCATTGATTTCATAGTATTTGTGAACTCACTTGCCCTGGCAGTTCTGCTACTGGCTTGAGTTCGGTGCATTTGTGTAAATTACCACAAATACCATACTGTGTCACACAGTAGAGAAGACAGATGTTTCTTTCTGTAGCAGCCTGAGAGATGAGAATGATGATGCTTCAGTTGGTCACCAGAAAGTGTTCCCTATTTATAATGGTGTGATTTGGTGAGAAATCACCAAATTCTGTACCTCCAGTGGCTGGAAGGTTTTCATCTCTTCTCTCCCTTTGTTTCCATTGAACAACAAAGACCTAGAAAATTCAGGTGCAGAACAACTAAGAGTTGATCATACTTGATTTGGGAGGAGGGAAGGAAGAAAGAGGTGATTGAGAAGCAGTCAATAGGTACATGAGGGCATTGATTAACCTACTCCTTAGTAGCAGGAAACTGGTAGGCCAAAGCCTCTGAGTAGGTGGGCTACCTTTGGGCTTGCTGCTGACAACAACAGTTGGGTCAGGTGATCTGAATGAAATTGAACAGCTTATAGGACACCTATAAAAAGTTCATCAGAATCTGATGTTTTTCTTCTAACAAATGATTCCTAGGTCATGCACTGCTCCTCACCACTTTCATTCCTGCCCTTTTCCTCATTCTTGCTTATTCTCTTCTTATTCTGTTAAGATACCAGTGCCACACTGGATCTTTGCCAGTACTGTTTTCACCCCCACCCCTAAACCCGTTTTTCAGGAATGCAGTGAGTCCATAGCCCCACGCTTGGGTGACTGGCTCCAGCCTCCCTTCCCTCTCTCCTTGTATAGGACTGCTGTTAGAGCTTCAATAGTAGATGTCTGCCCACCACCCTAGGATTTCTTTCTTTCTTTTTTTTAAAGTAAAGCAGCTGGTGTAGGCTTTCTTGGTCCTTGAGAAAGTAGCTTCAAGTAGGAGCATGTTTCCTTGGAATCCTGTACCCTCAGAGGAGTTTATAGCTGTGGCTTAAATTTTTTCATGCCCAGGTCTTAAATGTTAAAAATAGTTGTTGGACTCTGGAACTGTCATTCAAAAATCATGATCCTTCCCAATACCTTCTAAATCTCCCAGTTTCCCCCCAAATGGGATAGGTTTGGAGGGAGATGGGGCAGTCAATTTAAGCCACGGGACAGGCATGTGGCTCCCATGTTGAGATCTTAAACTGTCCCAGCTGCTGGAATATCAGCAGGAATAGAACCAAGTCGCTTGAATTCAGGAAGAGCAATATCATCCTTCTCCCCTTTCTATACAGAAATCCGGTCCCTGTCTGTCCTAGGAAGCTGCTAGCCTCATGATTACCCAACATTTAGATAATCTTAAATCAGAGAGATTTTTACTCTCTTCTTACACTCCTTGGCATTTTTTCTTTCTTTTTTTTTTTTAATGTGACAGATATGTTAAAATCATTAAAAGAGCAGTTTATTAATTTAAAAAGTAAAATTCATGTGAAACTGATTAGTTGTGACTAAATCATCTGAGTTGTGCCTAATCCCTCCGATATGGTTCCATGATTCTGGTGCAGAGGACCTTGGAAGAAGGCCCCCAATCTAGGGTAGGACAGATCCTATGATCATTCAGGACCGTTCTCGATTTAAGTCCATGGTGTGTTCTTAGATTGTCACTAATGATGTGCTTCAGGCTTTTAATTGTTTGCTGATTGATAACTGGGAATCTGTTTTGTGGGTGCCATTTGTGGCTGGTAGAGGGTTGAGATGTTGCCATGGGTCTTTACTGCTTTGTGGAGCAGGGATTCCCTGATCTGTGTGGCATGATAAGAAGGTTGTGTCTGTCTGGATTTTGTCAACTCTCTTCCAGAGATCAGAGCCTGTTGACATTTGAGATGCCAAATTATCCATCTTTGCAGTTAATATCCCCAGAGCTGAGGCAGCATCATTCCTCACAGCCTTTATGTCGTCGTGTAGGGCGTAGTTGATATCACTAAGAAGCCATGAAGGAGAAGGTGGATCTTCTTTCTTCCTCTTAATTTGATCAATGGTCCTAGTTGTTTTTGGAGTCAGCGTAAGCCACAAAAGTCTGCTCTGGCTCTAGAGGTCCAAGCTTAGGTGATGTTCAGTCAGAGCCGAGGGAAGGGTCCTCTGATGGGATTGTAGGTTTGCCAGCTTGAATCAGCATCTCGTTGGTGAAACTTGGTCTTTCCCCTCAGGTGGGCTTAGTTGTGAAGCCATGGGTAAGTAGTAAGACTGTCTGGATTTGTAGGCTGTGTCTGTAAGGTCCACCTCTCCTGTACTCTTAACTTGCATCTTTAGAAGGACCTCACCATCTGTACTGGTTCTGTTCACTCTTGCTGTCATCTCTTCTCATCAGCTCATCGAACCAAATCATAAAGACTTGGACATGCATAAGCACTTGTGCCAAATGCATTAGGAATCATTCAAGCCGATTTCTTGTGTTTTTCTTGACCCTAAGGAACTGATGGATTCTAACCACTACAGTTTAGAATAGCTGCAAGTTAGGTGGTAAAGCTAGGTCTCTCCAAAATGTGATAGTCATTCTTAATCCCTTGGAATTGGGTCTTTGTGGAAATCTGTCTATGGGGGAATGAGTCTGTATGTTTATGCCAGACAGGTGGTGGGTGTCTTCCTCTAGGTCTAATAAGGGAGTTAGAATAAGGGGCTTGTTGTGGGGGAAGGGGTGCAGAGGGGAGGCATTTCCTAATTTTCTTGGGGCTTAGGTGTGGGGTTAAAAGAAACTAAAACTGTTTTGCCAACCTTGCCAGAGGGTTGTTAGTCCACCTTACAGGTTAGAGGAAGCTTCGTGATGGTTCTGCCCCACCATCACACTAACTCTACTCCCTCATTACTAGGACAGATGAGTAGTGTGGCTTGTTCATTTCTCAGATAATAGGTCTTTCCATTTGTAGCCCTGCCCTAGATTCTTGGTGGTCTGGATTGAAAGCTGCTGCTGGAGTGCATTTGGTACTTCCGTTTACAGGGAGAGAGACCAAGCTCAATGCCCTTCCCACTGTTTGTAGAGAAACCCTTCATAGTTCTGATTTCATGGGTTCCTTAAGGTATTGTTGGCCTTATCTCCTCAGGGCCCAACTCATCAAGGTTTTGAGGTGATGAAAGAGTGCCTTATGGACCAGATGGAGTATTCAGGGGTCACAGAACTCTGGTTTGAACAGCAGTGATTGGAATTGAGTCACTAACCTTCTGTCGATAGAGTCTACATTTTGAGGTTTTTTTATTTTCTCCAGTCATAGTGATGGATCTGCACTGATCCATTCTCTTGACTAGTCCCGTGTTACCAGTGGCCTATATTTATTTTCAAGATGTTGGCTCTGTGTCAGGGGTAATGATGGCCTGTAATCTTGGAATAGAGGGACATTAGCTATCCCAACCAGGAATTCAGCCTATGATAGCAGCCTTTTCATTAGTGGTATTTTCTCAGTTGTGCTAAGCTGGTCATAGACCATATCTGTGAGTGATTCATTTGTTCTTTCCTGAAAAAACAAACAAACAAAAAAACCAAAGGTAACTCAAGGCTAGAAAATGTTTTCATTCTGGAAGAGAGCACTTAACAGCTTCTTGATGAAAGTCCATGACCCTTGTCCCTGGCTTAGGGTCTTGACTGAAGGAGTTCTGATAACAGTTGTGAATCTCCATGACTTAGGGTCATTCAGGGCATAATTGGATAGATAATACTTCTTTTGTAGAATTTCCTTACAGCTAGGGACTTTGTCCCACACTTTTTTTGTGTCCATCATAATACCTAGCATAGTACTTTGTATATGAGCAGTGCTCAGTAACTGCCAGATTTGAGCAATGCCCTTGTTGTTAAAAAGCATTTGTTTTGTTGAATGGTTGAATATGTCCCCTTGGTAGACAACTAAAACAACTTATATTCTTTGACAAACCTTTTACCAGAGCTATTCGATACCCTTTTAAAAATTCCTTTCCTTGGTAGAATTTTTAAGAGTGATTAGAAGGCCTGAAAACAAGGACAGAGAGTAAATGGGAACATGGATTAGCCACAAGTAAGCTGCTCTGTTCTTTGAGTGGGTGAAGGTTGCAAAAGTATTTCCAGTTTCTTTTCCCTTCAGCTGAATTTCTTGGGTTTTAATCTACCTCATTTTATCAAAATAAGTTTCTTCAGCTTGTGTCATTACTGCTTTAAATGTCATCAGTGACTAGTTATTTCCTAAGGGGTGGTTTTTGCCTCACGGTGAACGTACGGTGAACGCATGTTCTTTTGCCTTTTTACTCCCCATCTTTGTTATCATATTGCTTCAGCCCTTCTCCCGGAGCAATCTTTTCCATCTAACTCTTAGTTTGTGGGAAGCAGCACTCCTAGGGCCTGTTGCCTCTGAGGTTAGCAAGGGAAGGAATTTTGAAACAAGGTGTCGAGGAAGGAGAGGGCAGTCACTGGAGAAACCTGTGCTCAAAGGCAGCCTACACAGAAAGAGCCATTAATTAAGACATTTCAAAGTCAACTGATTGTGGTCATTAATGTCACAGTAGATCAAAACCTCATTATCACAGGCTCAGTAAGAGCCGTCAGTATTAATCAGAAAATCTAATAGGAAACTATTATCTAGAAATTAGGCCAAATTGAATCCAATGAACTTCCCATCTCGTTATGCTCTGTTTTGGGGTGTGACCCATAAGGCCTGATGCAAGCCCACATAAGTCGTTCTGTAAGGGGTGTTATCCTCCCCACAGCCTGAAACTAGCCAGTTAGGTCATCCTTGTTTCAAATATCCAATTCAAAATGTTCATGTCTAGATCCTGCAGGGATTTCTTGGTTGACCTTTCTGGAACCAGTGTTGCCCAAGTAGATCCATTGTGTACAAACCCCAGCTGGACACTGAAGAATTTAAAGAGACAGAAATTTTCATCCTTTAACTCCAAGCAGTTAAAGTGTAATTGAATGGCTAGATTTGAGTTTGACAGGTTAACAGCCTTTTTTGAGGCTGACCCTGGTGTTCCAAGTTTGAACATCATTTCTAAACCAAACCTGGAAATGAGATTTTTTTGTCACAGATAAGATTTCTTACTTCAACATTCAAAGTTGATCTGAAGAATCAAGAATAGCTGCTCTTTTTGCCTTCTGTCTTTCTATTGTTAAATGATTGCTTGAGAAGGAAAGAATGAAACAAAACACTGTATCTAGTTGGGGAGAAAGTGTATTGCCTCATGAACTAATGAGCTGCCTAGCACTGGAGGTATTCAAGTTGAGGTTGGTTGACCACTTGGAATCTTGGTTGTTATAGACAGGATTCATCTTTTAGGAGGGGGTTGTACTAGATGACCCCTTGTAACAAATTTAGGTCAAAGGCCATATGTAAATTTAAAAGCCCCTTAAGCCATTATAAGCTGTATTTATATACTTTTGATCTTTAGTTGTTTTGAAAATGCCACAGTCATTGGAGGTAAGATGTTACAGAAAGAAGGGTGTCTTTTCTTGGAGGAGGCAGCCACCCAGGACGATGTGCTTCAGTCTTTGCTATGCTCGACTTTGTCTAGAGATCTGACTTGTGATGCCAGCCTTCTTTGAAGACCTGGCAGCTCAGAGCACTACAGGGACCACCACCGTCAAGCTCTTCATCCTCCCTCTCAGAAGAAGCACCTGCTTACCCCTTGGTTTCTGACTAGCACATGATTTCTGATCCCGAAGCCTTTCACTGTAGCACCCTGAAGAATCAGTAACTCAGTCCTCTTCCCTATCCCCAATTCTTGGTGCAGGTTTGCCTTTGATTTAAGCAAATCTGATCATACATAATGGTAGATCTTAAAAGCAAATAAATTGAAGTTGAATGGGGGTAGGAAAATAATTTTTCACCTTACCAGAGGGTTCTTTAAATAGCAAAAAAAGAAAGAAAAAAAAGACCAACACCTGCTGAGTCTAAAATATTTGATTTCCTAAAAAACATGCACAGCTTTACCAGAGATTTGTTATGAGCAAGGACTAATCTGTTGTGCCCTATAGCTCCTTACCTGTCTGAGGTGCTCAGTAGGTGCCCAATATTTGTTGTTTGAGAACATCTTTTGTTCAAAGGGAGGTTTACCTGCACACATTTCTATCATGCAAACCTTCAGAGTCCAAGGCCCACTTTAGGAAGTAGCATAATCGAGTAGGACATGGCACAGGAGTTGGGTGTGGATGCTAGGTCTGATGTCTGCTGACCCCCCTCAACTAACTCATAATGGATGACCTTGGGCAAGTCATTTTCTCTCACTGCCTCAGTTCCCCCATCTGCTAAATGGGGGCAATAATACTGACCTACCTCACAGGGGTGTGAGGCATTGCCAATTGCTCAAAAAGTACTTAGGATCTTTAGATGGAGGATGCTGGGAGCTGAAGTCTAAGCCTGGCCCAGGCTTTAGTCCTCATTGAACTGTCTCCAAGAGTGGAATGACTTAGCAACCCAAGCCAATTTTCTGTGTATCCCATACTCCCCTGTCCCTCTAGTCACGTTTTCATCAAAGCTGCTAATTCAGATGTTGACAGTGTTTTCATAAATGTTGGAGTCTAATAGCCAAGAAATAATTGTGGAATTGTAAGAGGGGGAGGCAACTTCTGTTTTCTTTGTCTTTCCGCAGACAAGGTGGGGGTGTTTCTCTCATATTTGGATTCTAGTACCCGTGTTCTGAGAACAGAGGCCCAGGCTGCCCCAGGAGCAGAAATGACCCCAAAAGTTTTGATTCCATTCTTTCTTGACTGTATCCGTACATTTACAACTGGTCTGATCTTAGGACAGCAACATCCTTACCACCGTCGTTATGGAATCCGTTCCCAAGCATCCTCCTGGGATCTTGTGTGCCTCCCCTTCCTATTTCCTATGTAAGGGAAGAATATGTATATTGCCACATTGGAAATAACCATTTTTAGAGTATTGTTACATTTAACACTCCCAAACTAGTGTTGATGCTCCCTAATATTTCATCCAAGCCATTATATTCAGCATCTATTATCTCTCTTCCCCTGGGTTCACAATGTGAATCTGACATTGTTTTTACTGGTCTGGTTTGGAATGACTTCTCTGGGCCCCATTTTGTTTTCCCAGACATTGGCTTATGGGCCTCTGATCCTTTCTCAGTTTCAGGGGGCGTATCCGGTCCTTGTCCCCAACAAGACCCATTTTTTCCTTCCCTTACCCTCATCCCTGGATCTGTAACCCACGAAAAAGCACAAGGTCTCGGCCCCTTGCTGCTGTTACATGTTCCTTTTTGTGTTACACGGACTTTTCTCCTTACTCTTCGCCCAGCATCGGAAATGCCAAGCACAGCTCTTGGGAAATCTGGACAATGGAGAGTGCTCAGCCACCACAAGCCAGGAATTAGAACTTCAGTACTGGCACTGTAGCCCCCTTCCAGCCATTCCCCCGAGACTGGGAGCCAGGCTGGCCCAAGAGGCTGAAGCATCTCTCAGCACCATGCTTCAAGGTGGCTTTCTGTACCATCCAAAGCAGATTGGATCACAATTTGGAGCCAGATGTCTGGATGGAAAATGGGAGATTGAATTTTTAATGGACTTTGTTTTGTGGGGGAGTTTGGGGTATGCTTCCTTGGTTTGATTTTGGCCAAGTCTGGCTAATTTTTTTTAAAGGAAAATGATATGTTACACCTTTTAAATGTAAATGTTTAAAAATAGGCATTTATGTGTTTCCACAACTGACATCCAATGCAGACCTCATTCTCTCCCCTTCCACCACCTTCCTCTTTTTCTCCCTCTTTTCATACTCTTGTATTGGTTCTAATAAATGGTTGCTTTTCAAATCTGTATCTTGGGTAATATTTTAAAGAGAACGGGCCAAAATGTAGCCCTTCACCCCTTCTATTGCTCATGTTCTGTGGTGCCCTGTCACAGTTCCCAGAAAGCCAGTAGGCTTTCTAAAAGGATTTGCTGTCCCTTAGAGTGGCCACAACCTGAGGAATGCAGAACCTTAATGCTGAGTGCCTTCTAAGATGCAAGAAAGGCACTGTATGAGGTGCTATTGGAGAACTTGGGATGAACTTAATCCCTGTCCGCAAAGATGTGTGGTAGAAATAAGGTAAATACCAACCAAGTTCAGGGAGAGGTATAGATTTTGATGAAGGAATAAAGGATTCATGGAAGAGAGCTGGACTCAGGTACTGATGACTAGGATTTAGAATATTGAGCTCGCCAAGTAGGATTGGTTATCCACACTAACGGAAGGCAATACTTACTCAGTACGTGAAAAAGAATAAAATGGCATCATACTTGACTATGGAATACATTTTTTTTTTGGCATTAGGTTACAATCTTGCTTTATTTGGGAAAACAGCAAAATGACTCCCTTCCCCGAGTGCACATTAGCTGTTGGGGAACATAGCCAAGAACCTACTGGGTGGCAGTGAGGAGCCAACCTAGGAGTAAACATATGCTAGTAATGATTCAAATGCAGATAATTAAGTATGTGCTGCTCTCTATAGGCCTATGATGTATTCTGGCATCTTAAGAGGTGGGCAGGAATATATGGGAGGGTGGGAGTAGGTTTGCCCTGCAACCCACACATGCCGTCATCCCCATCCACTTCTTGTCTTCTCCAGAAATACTACCTCTCAGTGCTTAAATGTTTTCTCCTCTCACGTTCAGCATGTTTTCTCCCCTTTCTCTCGTCTTCCTCTTTAGCTATAGTGTCTCTCCAGCCTAAGCTAATAAAGTCTTACGGAGACATCTGTAGGTTTGCTGACTTTATGGCCTGAGACTCCATAAACAGGGTGAGAGAGCCATTTGGTCCACTTCAGAGAAAGACCCTTCAGGACATTATTCATACTCTTTTTCAGCCTGGGAATGCTGGCCCCTTTCTCCTCTGATCTCTTCCTCCCACCCAGTTCCTTTGGGCTCTCCTTGATGCCCTTCTCTGAAGGCAGGACTCCATTAGAGTCATAGAATATTGGTGCCAGCAGGATGCCTTAGACAAATGTTCTTAACCTGAGGTCTTGGCACTTGCTTAATGTTTTCATGACGATTTCAATATAATTGGTTTCCTTTGTAATCCCATGTATTTCGCCCACTTAAAAAATAACTTTGAGAAGGGGTCAGTAGACTTAACCAGATTGCCAAAGGGGTCTAGAACATAAAAAAGTTAAGCACCCTTTCCCTGCCCACTCATCTGCCCACTACCACCATAGAGCCCACATCCCTCTCATTTTAAGGATAAGGAAACAGATTTGATTACAGATCTCTAGTCCTTAACCAAACTCAGGACTCCTGTCTTAACAGTTCAGATATTCAATGAATTATGTTTTGTCTACTATGCTCAAATTGGACACAATACAAAGAAGAAAATATTCCAGGATCTTGGCTTCTAAGAACCTACTGAGGGATTATGGCACATAACACAGGCACGATTATAAGGAAGAATGTGGTTAGGGCAAAAGAAAGAACTAAAGTGGACAAAGAATGTAGAGTAATGTGAAATATGGTTAGAAAAGTTGACGAGCCAAATTGCGGATAGCCTTCAGTACCAGTCTAAGGAGTTTATACTGTATCCTCAGGGGAATAGGAGTTGCTGATGATTTGCAGCAGTGTAGCGGGGGGGCTGATTTGTACCTGTGGAAGATAGTTGCTCAGCTAGACAAAGGACTAGAGGTGCTAGTAGCTGGTTATGATGGTCCAGGCAAGAGCTAATCAGAACCTCACCTACTGTGGCAGTATGAGTGGAGAAGTGGCAATGGATGTTGAAACAATCTAATGCTTTCTCTGCGATACATGTAGTCGAGGCTCATTTTCCTACTGGGGACAAGAGAATATACCGTTGGCCTTAGTTTCCCTCCAATGTGCCACCCAGCAAGTCAGAAATGAGTGCATAAATAGGGCCCAGGATTCTAGCTAGCTTCTTTCTCCAGATCCCTCTCTCTTTCCCTCCCTCAAACTTAGGACTAGAACCCAAGAATTCTATTTCACCATGTATAGTCATTTTGAAGTCAGTTGTCTTGCTTTCCAATTTCCCTTTAGGTCTACTCCAAAATCGCCCAATCCCATAAGGGCCAATAAGATAAAATGAAATGTTAGCTTGGGAAGCAAAGAGTGGGGGAAGCCTATACTTTGCTCTGTCTCCTTATACAGTTGTTGTGGCTCTAGATTGCCCCAGCTATAGCCATAAAATAACAGGAAGGCTCTGTGCCTTCAGAAGTTTTAAGAGCTGGGGGTACAGGCGGCTAGGTGGCACAGTGGATAAAGCACCGGCCCTGGAGTCAGGAGGACCTGAGTTCAAATCCAGCCTCAGAAGCTTGACACTTACTACCTGTGTGACTCTGGGCAAGTCACTTAACCCCATTGCCTAGCCAAAAAAGAAAAAAAAGCTGGGACTACTTAGATATGTAGTAGTCAAAGGTGGTTGAGTATATGGCTGTAGCTGGTGAAGTTGTGGGTATGACAGGTGGATGAGGGATGTCCCAGCATGAATGTGTCCACTCTTCAGGTGCTAAGTGAGAGTGACAAAAGGAGGGTTTCAGAGAAAACTCAGTAAATCCCCAACCTGCTCAGAAGGAAAAGACATCTCTGTTTTTGAATAATCAAAGGCAGAAGGAGGCTAAGGGTCAACGCTACTTTTGATCCTGTCTTTCTCCCTCTCCACCATCCTCGGCCCACTTCTCCCTTTCCTCTGCAGCCCTCTTCTTCCCTCTCTGCAGATGTAGCGTCTTGCTTTCCAGTTGCCATTTTCCTCTATTCTCTTTGGCTGTGTCTATTTGTTACCTTTTTTGTCTCTATTGTTCCTGTTACTCATTTCCTCACTGCTTCTGAGCTCCAAATCTCTCCCCCTGTATTTGTTCCTCCCATCCCCCTCAATTCCACAACCAATCCTATTTTGAAATATTTACTTTTATCTTTTGTCCTTATGTTTATCCCTTACCTTCTGATTCTTCAATCTCTAAAACAACAACAATAACAAAACAACCTGGGGTGCCTTTAAGAGATCCCTCCACCCCTTCCCATTCAACTCTAGAAACAGGTGCAGCTCTTGTAGCATGTAAATGGAACTCCCCACACAAGCACACCCTGGATCAGGAGAGATGATGGTGTCTCAACAGCCTCATCATTCCTAACCAGAGGAAAAACCTCATTTGCTTAGAGAGAGTAGAAGAGATGCTGAAAACTGAGCTTAATGAGGAATTTGGGGGTCATTGAAATAGGACTGTTTGGGGTCATTTTTTCTGCCTCTCTTTTGTTCCCCTTGTCTCCTGGTGTGTGTGTGTGTGTGTGTGTGTGTGTGTGTGTGTGTGTGTGTGTGTGAGAGAGAGAGAGAGAGAGAGAGAGAGAGAGAGAGAGAGAGAGAGAGAGAGAGAGAGAGAGGGGCTAAGGTATCAGCCACAGATGATGCAGCCTCTGAAATTGCTCCTCCCTTTGCACCAAACCCTGGAGGGGGAAGGGAGAGTTGTAGAGTGCCATAGATTGGGCCAGGAGCTGTTGGGTTCCGCCTCTTCCTCATGGGGGCCCTGACCCCTTCTTCCAAACCTGTCCTTTTGTTTTTTGAACAGAACATGAGAGTATTTGGTTCTCACGGACTGCTTTCCATTTCCCCACCCCCAAGCTCACCATCACCCTTTTTAGTATTCCAGACATGTCAGCTCACCATGGAGCTGGGGAAGAAAGGGGATGGGGCTCTGGGGATTCTCTTCGTTGTTGAAATGGGGCTGATAGTGCCTGGGCTAAGACCAGTTTCCTTTCTTTCTGTCCCATGACCAAGAGAAAACCTGAAAGATGCTCTTTCTCCTTTCAGTGTCCTTCCCTTCCTTCCCCATTCTTTTTCTTGGAGCTGGAGTGTTAGGGAATACCAGAAGAGGTAGAGAATGGGGTGGGCAATACTGAGGAAGATCAGAGGCAGTGGGGACAGTAAGAGGATACCAGAAGATGGGGCAGAACTGAGTGGGGAGACACTGGGAAAGGGGCAGGTCCCGGAGCAGTAGAGACTAGTGTTCAGGGAACACAGCAGAGAGGAGATAGGAGCAAGAAGGCCGAGAAGAGGGACAAAACCTAAGGAATTCTGGGACAGAGAAAGAAAATCAGTCTCCCTCCTCCCTCTCTCAAGAGGAAGGATATTCCTTTTGTCACCCTTTCCCTGGGAATCCCGGTTTCCACCAGCCCCTCCCTTTTAGAAGCAACTTAAGCACATAGTAGGTGCCTAATAAATAGTAGTTGACTGACGTCTCTTGGAAGATGAATACACCCAGCGTTTTTTATTTCTCAAATTAATAATTCACCTTTTAGAAATTTTCATAATAACCCTTAAAGTAATTGATGACATCTAGGGGGTGTTTTGAAACCAAGGCTTGGGACTCACTAGCCTATAGGTCTATCTGTCCATCTGTTCTTAATCTAATTCTGTCTCTGTCTCTGCCTCTGCTTCCTTATTTTCCCCTTCAGATGAATTCCCTAAGGCTAGGGACTTATTCCTTTTTTTTTTTTTTTTTGCTTTTTGGTTGAGGCAATTGGGGTTAAGTGACTTGCCCAGGGTCACACAGCTAGTGAGTGTCAAGTGTCTGAGGCCAGATTTGAACACAGGTCCTCCTGACTCCAGGGCTGGAGCTTTATCCATTGTGCCACCTAGCTGCCCTCCTTCCTTCCTTCCTTCCTTCCTTCCTTCCTTCCTTCCTTCCTTCCTTCCTTCCTTCCTTCCTTCCTTCCTTCCTTCCTTCCTTCCTTCCTTCCTCTGGGTTTCCTCCACCCCAGACCACAAATCTAGAAGGTCACCCAGACAGACAAGAATGACTTGAAATTTCTCCCCAGATGAAAGTTATGGGGGCCCTTCCTGGCTTCAAGGGAAAGAAGTGAGGGACAGATTCTGGGTAATGAGGAAGAATAACAAATGGACTCCAACTCCCTATATTACCTTCATTTGTGTCCAATATAGCTTAGGTATCTGTGGGGATTTGGGAATCAGGCCATAGGCTAGGACTTAGGCTAGATGAAGGAGTTTTAACCTGGTGTCCATGAACTTGTTTTTCAAAAATATTTGGATAACTATTTCAATATAATGGTTTCCTTTGTAATCTTGTGTATTTTATTTTATGCATTTAAAAATATTATTCTGAGAAGGGGCCCACAGGTTTCAACAGACTGCCAAAGAGGTCCAGAACACACAACAAAAAGAGTTAGGAACCCCTGGGCCAGAGGAAGGGGAGACAGGGCATGCCCCACTCATGGGCTGAAGAGAGGTGGGTTAGGGAAAGGGAAGAGGGAAGAATCACCTTGTCCCCATCTCCCTCCCCTATCAGAGAAGCCTTCACCAAGGAAGACCTCCCCTAAGTAGCGGGAAGGTTATTTAGGATTAGGCTTAATGCCCATGGTAGAACCTGAAATTCCAGTGTTGCTATCCTGTACTCCCAATTCTAGAATAGGTGGCTCTAGGATAGGGCCTGAGAGTCAGAGGTATGAGCTCATGGAAGAGGTGTTTTATTGGCCAGGTATAAGCATCACCCCAGGCCCCAGGGAAGATAGCTCAGGGTGTGACAACTCCTTTTCTTCTTCCTGGAGAGTGTTTAGTTTCAGCTTTCCCTGGAGCCTGAGGAGACAAGGAACAACCAGCTTGTTTCCAGAAAATGGTGTGAATGGGGGGGGGGGTACTGCGGCCAGCCACCTGCATGGATATTCCAGTGGCACAATCCCAATGCCTCAGTCTTCAATTTTCTCCAGGAGTGAAGGTGGCAGCAACCATTTGGACTGTCTCAAAAAGGCGATGATCGAAAGAACATTTGGAATGGATGCATCACACTTGTTTGTGCAATGTGTTTTTTTTCCGCCACAGCAGATTTTTCTGTTGTGTTCAAGCTAATACTAAAAGGTACCACTTCCTTTTCCTCAACACATGCTTGGGAGATGGTAGAAGGTATTCTGAGAGTCTGTGTTGGAAGGGGGTAGGGAGAGAACTAAGGGAGAGAGGATAAGAGAAAGCCAGTCTAGAATTAAGTGTTTACCATGGATAATCCACAAAGTAGATAACAGAGAGAAGACATTTTGTGGCACCTGTGATGACCTACTGGAATAGAGTTATACAAACAAGAGAGTTTAGGAGGTGCCTTTCAAGGTCTGTGCTGCCTCTGGGCTCCACTGGGCTGGACAGGGCTAGAGCAGGGCCAGACTCAGGGCCAGGGCCAGGGCATACCTCTGGGAGAAGAGTAAGAACTCATAGGCATGATGGAATGATAGCAGCTGATCTCGGTTTTGCACCAGAATGGCCACACAGAGTAGGACATCAAAGGTCAGGTCTTTTCGGGGAGCACAGCATCCATTGACCTCTGCTAAAGGTGAACAGTCATTGTCAGAAGAGACATTAAGGAAACCAAAGATCATGAAGTAGTTAAGAATTATGGAAGGGTCAAAGAATCTGATGACATCAAAGGTTATGGAGTTCATTGCAATAAGAATCAAAGGATTGATGTATAAGGTTGAAAAGGAGTTTAGATGGCCCAGTGGATTCAAGGTAGAGGAGTTTGGGCTGCTCACCATCCTTGGTCTTTGAATGTTGCCAGTCAGGGGAGTTGCCCTTGCCACCCTCCAACCCTCTAATCTCCAGCACTCGAAGGGCATCTTGATGCTGCAGATCTCTCTGGAAACACAGCAGCAACCAGCTGTGGGAGCATGGGGTCAGTCGGTCAGATTGTCAGAGTCCCAGTTACATCCATCTCCAGCTCTCTGTAATAATCCCAGGCCCCCTTTCCTGTCTCACCACCACCTTCCTGAGCTCCCTAAATCCCATCTTCCAGTCCTCTCCTCTATCAGCACTGCCATCCCTCCCCAGCCTTCCAGGGTTTTGAGGCTGACCGGAGACAGAAGAGCAGCTTTTCCTTGGAGACCCTCTCAATATGGCTAGAGAGTTCTGGATCGACATATCTTAGCAGCTCTTCAGAGACATCTGCAGGGAAGATGTCTGTCTAATCACAGGGCCATCTCCCTCTTGCCCTCTGCCTCCTCAACTGGTGTCTCTCTTGATAGCCAACATCTTCTTATCAACACCCTCATTGTCAAAGGTGTCATCATAGTCATTGCCTGTTGATGATAATAACATCCCTACCCCAAAGCCTTCATTCAACACTCATCTGCATTTGATGCTGCGGCACTAAATGAGTCTGCCCTCAGAGGGCTCATGGTCTAAAGATAGTGACAGGATAGTTAGTAAGGAAGGACACATGCATGGGTGAGAGATAAAACAGAATAAAGATATGAAAAGATCGTAAAAGTGTCTACGTCATTATACCACCACAATTGGCCAATTCCGTGTCTAATACGAAAGAATCACCTACGCCAGGGACTGTCACTCATGACCTGTCTCTGCCCAGACATGAAGATGGATGCCCTTCCCCAACCCCTACCCCCACCCCCACCCCCTAGGGTCCATCTCTCACGGATCTTTCTTTTGATGCCTTCAGCTGTGAAGTTCATCCCTGCCCAGCGCATGAAGCCCACAAAGCACCAAAATGCATCAGTCTCTGAATCCAGGGTCTCCAGGAATCGGCTCACAAAGTCATTCATGCCCTGGCAGTAACCCAAGTCTGGCAAGCAGAAAGGGAAGCATTTCCTTTGGTTGGATTCAATTTAGCAAAACTGGTTGAGCATATAAAGGGACTGTGCTGAGGTTGGGTATATAAAGACAGACAGGACAGCCCCTACTTCTCCAAGAACTTAGCATCTTAATTGGGGACTGAGAAGAGCGTGTATACAAGTAGCTAACAAACTAACATAACATACATAAACATACATAACATAAGGCTAGCATGTAAACAAGTAGCAAATAATAAGGTACAGTAAGGTAAGTAAGCATTGAGAAATTTAAGAAGGAAGAGCTCACTTTCAGTTGGGGAAGGTCAAGGAGGGAGGAGAAGTGGGGGATAGATGATAGTGTGGACAGGATCAAGGAGCTGGTTTGGGATGTCTGGGGGAGAAAGCAGAGAAGGTTGGAGGAAGTCACAGCAGGACCTGGTTTGAGGGTTTAGAGGAGGCATTTTGGATATGAGAAGGGAGAGAAGAGGAGAAAATCAGGTCCTGAGAAAGGAAAAAACGAGAGAGGAGAATGATGCATGTCAGTGAGAGAAGGATCTGTGTAAAGGATGGAATTATTGAAGCTAAAATAGAATAGTGAGGCAATGAAGACTTTGGCACCTGAAAGGGGAAAGAGGTTCCCTCAGGAAACTTTACCTTGATGAAAGGCAGCATAGGTGATGAGTATCTCCCGGACAGACAGAAGCTTGACCAGCCCTTCCTCCCTATGAGGTGGGGAAGTGACACTTAGGCCCCCCAATTAATCAATATCCAATTCCCCACGACTTTGACTTCCCCTGGTCCCCTAAAAGCATCAGCTCCCCATTCCCTTAAACCATTCAGAATTTGGGTAGGTTGGCCCAGTTTCAGTTAAGGAATGCTAGGCACATAGGCCTCCTTATTTCTCGGTGGTGCTGAGCCTCAGAGGCAATAGTGACTCATATCCTCTCCACATCCTAGGGCAGACCTAGGAGAATAAGATGCAAGGAGGAGTCAGTGGGAGCTACAGAATCTGTCATGAGTATCTGAAGCCCAGGAAATTTGAGACCTATCCTTTCCCTGCTCCGGCTTTCAGTTCCCCTTGGCCTTGGCCTGCTCACTGGAAGTAAGAACGGTGTCGGTCAGTTCGGGGCACATCAGCATCTATGTGTTTCTGGGCCTTTGTGAAGAGCTGGTCATTGAAGATGTGACACTGAAGGCTGTTCTGGAAGGTGGGGAGGAGAAAGGGTTTGGGGAAAGCTCTGTTCTTTAGGTTAGTGGACATTCTAGTCCCCAGCTACGTTCCCTGCACGTAGTCCATCATCCCTTTCCCTTTCTATGATTAAAGAGGTAAAGACTTCTTTTCTCTGCTTTTCAGCATGAGAATCTCAACTCTTCCTACTTTTATAGAAGGTGAGGTTGGGGGAAGGAAGAAGATTCCTTTTCCCACAGTACATGAAGAACTAAGGAGGGCAAAGACACCCCCACCCCCACCAAAAAAGACCCTCCCAGGGGAGAGAAAACTTCTCCATGTCCTTAGCTCTAGCCCTTCTCTCCTTACTAGTGTCTCCTCTTTTAACTTTGCACAAGATGGGTTTGGCATGGACTTTTCCCCATGGGGTGGATATACACCCAGACTCAGCCAGCCCCCATTTGGTGAGGGGAGCAGGTTAAAATACTTCTCCAAAGAATCTGCCATTTGACTCATGACTCTGAGTCTCCAATGGAAGTATTTAGGGGAACGCTCTTCCAGGGATTATTTCCTCCTTTTCCACTGGATCTCCCCTTGCAAAGATTCTCCCCCCACCCACTTCATGACCAATAGTTCTGTCCAACCTCAGCCAACTTTTCCAGAGGAGACGCATTTTCTCTTATCTGTGTCTGTAGCACTTCATACTTGTCAATAGCCATGGAAAATTCCTCTGTGGGAGAAGGGAAGGGAGAAGTAAGGCTCTCATAGACCCAGCCGATGGGGAGAAGGGAAGCCTGACCTGCTCTGCCCCCACCCCCATCCCAACAAAATGAAGATGACCATTCTCTGCGAACGGACTTGGCCTCCCAATGTCTTAGGAAAAGGGCCATAGTTCCCGACACCTGGCATGAAGAAAGCCGTATTCCCAGGACCCAAGTAAGGTCCAAGAACTTGGGTACTAATAGCAATAGAGTTAACGTTTTTATGGCTCTTTTGGATGTGGGCAGCCCAGTGCATAGAGTGCCAAGCCTGGAATCAAGAAAGACCTGAGTTAAAATCCAGCCTCAGACACTTTCTAGCTGCGTGACCCTGGGCAAGTCACTTAACTAGTTTCCTCATCTGTATAATGAGCTGGAGAAGGACATGGCAAACCACTACAGCATCTCTGCCAAGAAAACCCCAAATGGGATCACAGAGTCAGACACAACTGAATCAACTCAGCCACAGTCAAGATTTGCAAAGCGCTTTATAGACATTATTTCATTTGATCCTTATGACAACCCAATGAGGTAGTGTTATCCCCATTTTAGAGATGAGAAAACTTTGGCTCAGAGATTTGTCTAGAGTAACAGACCTAATAAGTGTCTGCAGTGGAATTTGAACCCAATCTTCAAGTTTACCACTCTATCCATCACAACATGATGTCTTCCATAATTATATAAAAGCTTTAGAATCTTAAAACTTACCTTTCCCTGACCCCTAATTTTACAGGTCAGAAACATAAGGGCCCAGAGTGGTTAGGTAATATGCCCCAGGTCACGCAACTATCAAGCAACAGTCAGGATTGGAACCCAGAAGCCAGGACTCCTATTCCAATGCCCTTTCCACTACGCTATGCTTCCTCCGGTTCACAAAAGAGAAGAGGCTGAAGACGGGGGCTTCCTGACAGTTGGGCCTCCGAGTGCCTTACTACACTCTGCCCTCCAGTCCGAGGGAATACTCACCATCTGCCAGCACCTTGAGGCGGACAGCGCTAGGGTATCGACCTCTCCAGACCCACTTCATGCCATGGTAGTGGGCTTCCAGCTTAGTGTCCAATACCTGTCGCTCCTTAGCTGTGGAGTTGGGTGGGTACACACCAAACAGAAACTTCCACACCAGCTTCCGCTCCCCAGCCTCTGGGCCTGGTGTTGCCAACACACACATCATGGTCGGACTTACCGTGGATCCCATTCCAGTACAGTTTGTGGGTTGGGGCTGGTCTGGGCTGGTCCGTGTACCCCCAGCACCTGGTACAATTCATTGCACATGATAAGCGCTTAATAAATATTTATTAAATTGCATTGAATTGCTCCTTGACCCGTTGAAGGATTGTCGATTATAACCGGGCTGAAGGGAGGGTGCAGTTCCCGGCCATCGCCACAAGATGGCGTGGTAGTTCTGCATACAGTCAGTCACTCGTACTCAGTCCTATGCCCTGGACGTCAAACTCACTCTGGGAGCTGGGAATCTGTTGGAGATTCTAGGAGGCTCCCAACGACTCCAAGAGAGGCATCATAGTGCAGTGGAAAGAGTGCACCTGTATTGGGAGTCAGGAGACCCTGGCTCTTCAACTAACTAGCTGTGTGACCTTGGGCAAGTCACTTAACCTCTTTGTGCCTCAGTTTCCCCATCTGTAAAGGGAGAGGGCTGGAACTAGATGATCTCTAAGCTTCCTTCCATTTCTCAGATTCTAGGAACCTATAAGGCTAATGAAATAGTACAGGTCAATGTTAATGAGGGTATGACTGAGGTTGAAACAGTGGGAACAGTGCTGATTGGACAGATTGTAGGAGGAGAATACATGATAGCTGGTGACTGGTTGAATGGTAGAGATAAGGGGGAAAGGAATCAAGGGGGCTTCTAAGGCTTCACTGGGGCTAATCAAGTGGCTTTCAGGAGCCGGGACGCAAGGAAGGGCTTCAGCTTCTGTCTTTGGGTATCTTTGCCTCCCAACTGCCGATTTTGGCAACTGTTTTGGGCTCTGGAAGAAATTTGATGTAGATTGCACATCAAGTGCCGTAGCCCAGTGCCAAGTATGTGGTAGGTGTTTAATAAATGCTGGATTGATCAGTGGCATCTGGCAGGAAGAGAATATTGTTGCACAGATTTCCCAACTCCAAGAATTGCTGGGCCTCAACAATGTAGGGGAAGGAAGGGAGGGTTCCTGGGAAGGGTCCTCCTTTCCCACTGACCTTTCTGGTAGACCATCCTCCGGAGTCGAGGGATATCTAATCGTCCCACAGGGTCAAAGAGGCTCTCCAGGGAGTCAGGTGGCAGGGGCAGACTCTCTGGACAGTGAGGGGGGCTCTTCTTCAGGGGTCCTGTGGTCTTGAGGACCTCAGTCTTAGGATGGCCCTTCTGGGGGTCCCTGCTCCCCTTCCCTGGGGGCTTTGGTTTGAGATTCATTGTGATGGTGCTTCTGTGCAGAGGGAGCAAGAGGCAGTTGTTCCCAAACTAATCCTGCACTAACCTTCAGAGGTTCCTCTAAACCCACCTCACCCCATGAAGCTATATCACAGTCCATGTTCATATTTGCAAAGACTCCTGTGTGTATCCAAAGACATGGTTCCACGTGGGGCTCCCAGCCAACCCATACATACATACCCAGCATCTGCCTCAGCCTTTGGGACATTGAGACATGGGCACAGACCACTGGAGATTCACCCCGGATAAGAAGCAGAACTGCATGTGTTGAGAGAGAGGCCTACCACCTACCAATGTCTGATTCCTCCATAACTCCCCAGGCCCACCCTAAGGCCCTCCAGAATCTCGGGGGTTCAGACCTAAATGCATAACTGGGTTTGGGGATTGCTGTTATCAATCTTGAAAGAGCCATCCTGAGGCCTGCTTGGCCCTGACCATGTCCTTTCTTTTGTGGCCCCGCCTGACCTTAGGTAGGAGCTCAGCCATGGGAGCCATAGGCTGAGCAGTCTTGCACATGGAGCCAGGCCCAGGATTCTCAGGATCTTCTGGTTGGCCAACTGGATGAAAACCTCCAGCCACTCCCTGTTGGAGAGATGAAGGCCTGCAGGACACACCCTAGGAGCAGCATTGCCCCCAGCCAGAGCCCAGGCTTCTGGGGCTGAGGAAGACAGGGACTGAGAGGGACTGGGGTAGGGAAAGGAGGCATTTGTGGGGAGGGGAGAGAACCAGAGGATATGCACATCCTTCAGATGATTTGCAAATTATGCAAATGAACTCAATTCTCTGGCCAAAGTCTCCAAGGGAACCTGTAGGGCCTAGAGGGTTTGGGATAAGTAGGGGGAGAGGGGCAATGAGCTGGTCTCTCTTCAACCAGGGGAAGGTTCTCACCTAAAGGCCTGCAACCAGTACAGGAAGAGCTGGAGGGCTAGAGATGGCCAGGTCCCTGGGTACATATCCCAGGGCATGAGCAGTGATCCCTGAGCAGTGAGGGCCCCTCCCCCCCACCCCCCCAGCTGCTTAGCTCACAGAGGGCATTGTGGGACCTGCTATCCCCAGGCTCTCTCCTGGCTCTCTCCGTCACCTCTCCATCCCTCTCTGTCCCTTCCCCATCCTCTTTCCTGTCTTCTCTTTTTCGTGCTCAAGTGTTACAGCTTTATTTTTCATATTCTATATTTGGTTTGGACACAGCAGACAAACACACAAACACTGCTCCCCCAAAAGTGCGTCCCCTGAAAACAACAGGGCTACTAAATGTGAGTGCCTTTTCCATGTTTGTGGTTTACCATTTGTTAATGATAAAGGAAGCTCTTTCCCTTCTCGCTGACTCGGTCATCTTCCTTTGTCCTTTCCTTCCTCTCCTCTTCCCCCTCTGTCCAAGCATTCTCTTTTCCCTTTCTTGCTCCTCTCTTCATCCTCTTTCAATCCAATATATCCTCTCTTCCTTTTCTCCCCTTGTTTTCCTTCCTCTTCTTGCTAGTCTTTCTCCATCCTCTCCTCCCTTCTCTTTTTGCCACTCTCTTCTTTCTTACTCTCTCCTCCCTCTCTTTCCGTCTTCACCTCTCCATTTCTCTCTCTTGCCTGCATCCCTCCTCTGATTTCCTTTCCTCTTTCCCCTTTTCCCTGGAAGGTCTCTTTCCACTCTTCCTCACCCAGGCTCTCACCTCATCTCTCTCCATTCTCAATTCCCCTTCTCTATCTTCCCATCTCATTATGGGTGGATTCTGTCCCACCTCTGGCCCATTTTGGCTCAGCTGGTCAGCTCTTAGCAATAGACATCTGGTAGGGGCATTGGGATTCCCAACAGTAGGGAGCTCAGTAAGCTGGCTGCTGCTAGCAGTCAGCAGTTGACTTGGATTTGGCCTCGGTTAGAATTGGGTTGGCTTAGACCAAGACACTGGCAGAAATTAAAATGGCTGTAGCAGCTGTAGATGAGGATCCAGGAGTTTGGCATTTGAATGGCGATGGGAGGAAAGGAGAGACGTTTGCAACTCAGTTGACCTTAGGGACCTCAGCTTCTGGCTTCCCCAAAAGATAGTTTAAACACTGGTGTCAGCAGAGCTGGGAGAGACTTGACCCCAGCTGCAGTCACCATGATAGGAGGTCCCAGGTCGGGTAGACCTTGGGCTGCTCTAGGCTGGAGGCAATCATTAGGGGGACTGTGCTGCCCCCTAGTGGACTGAGAGGAAACAGTAGGATGCTGGGGCAGGGAGAGACACCCCAGCCCACTCCTCCAAGCTGTTACATATGTAAAAATACATGGATAAAAAACACGCAAACACATATACAGAAACAAACTCAAAAAATACACAGAAATACCATCCTCTATGGTTCAGTACTCCACCCTTCAATCCCTGACAATCTCAGCTAAAACCACCACTGCCCCTATTTCCAAGAGATCTATCCTCCTGCCTAGAGTCAGAGAGATGGCTAAAATGATCTCAGTATTCTGTCAGCGGCAGGAGTGCTGAAGCTTCAGCTTGACATTCCTGCCCTGAAATCCATTTGGTTTGGGGGGGGGGGACTAGGGTTGAGTATGACGGGGAGGTCCTGAGGGACAAGGGAAATGGGGAATATGGAAGGAGTGGCAGGCATTGGGCCTGAATGCAGAATGCAAAATGCTAAGAGCTAAGATTTAGAGCTGGAAGGCACCTTAGAGCACATGGTAGCACAAACCCCTCATTTTACATATGAAGAAACCGAGGTGTGTGTAATACTATGCCTACAGATGAAGGCATGTGGAGCCGCCTGGGGCTCCCTGCTCCCCTTCCCTAGGGGCTTTGGTTTGAGATCCACTGTGATGACTTGCTCAAATCTATACAGGTAGGAAGTAGCAGAAGCAGGTTGCAAAGCCAGGTGGTCTGACTCCAGATCTGGTGTTCTCTCTACCAGATAGATGCTCATGACACATGCACCACTCAATCCTGGCAAAGCACACATTTGTGTACAAGTGTTCATGCATGTGGATGGGGTAGCATCACAGACTTAGGCATAGAGTCCGCAGTCCATGCAGAGCACTGCACGTAGAGCGTGGGCAAAGAGATTGATGCGTGTAATAGCTCAGGTGGAGCAGTGTCGCAGGGAACCATGTCTGCAGACTGGCGTGTGTAATACTATGCCTACAGATGAAGGCGTGTGGAGCCGCGTGAGCAGCTCTGCATGGGGCTCCATGACAGCCCATGTGCTGCCCGCAGGCAGATTTATAGCCCAGAGTTGGATGCAGCTGTGTGCAGCTGGGTATGCAAATTTATGCAAATTTCACTTGGTCTGTGCCCAGGCTTGGTAGGGAGCTGGGGATGGGGGGAAGGGAGACAATATTGCCAGGGTCTCCTGGCTCCCCTAAAGAGTATCGTCTTGAGTCCCACACTTAGCACAGAGACCAGGAATGGGGAGAGATAATCAAAGTATCTTCCCCCTCCTAATAGTCTCTACTTAGGTATGGCATGAGAAGAGCATGTAATATAGTAACCATATCATCCTCCAGTCCATTCCCTAGCTTAGAATATAGACGAGCTGGAGGGATTGGAGCCATACTATGTCCAGAATCTTGGATCCCCAGGTAGGAGAGATCTCATTTACTACCACATGGGCAGAGGGGAAATTACAATGATAGGACCAGACTTCTTTGTGTGGCACAGGCCAGCCCAGAGAACCCTGCTCCACTTCCCCATATAGAAGGACCCTTCCTCCAGGGGAATACCAAAGTGTATCTAGCGGCATTCAAGGATGTTGTATGAAGAAGAACAAATCCCTTCAGCTCTCTGTAGAGCCAGTCATCCAGTTTCCTCTATTGTCGGAATCAATGGAGACAATGTAGGCAAACACCATATAAATATGAACTGTTACCTTGATCTGCCAATCTGAACATTTTTAAATCCTTCCCAACCTCAATCCCTCCTGTTTTCCCATCATTCTCCTATCTTCTGTTTCTTATACTGGAAAGAGCAGAAACACTTTATGTTAGAAGACACAGCAAATGAACCCAGCCATTGGGCTCTATCCCACTGGGAATGGGGGCTAGGACAGGGCTGCTTTCTTTCTCCTCTCCATAATGATGGACAAAATACCATTCATGCCTTGGCCCAGTTTCTGAATCTTACAGTTCCAATCCCAGCTGGGAGATTCCCCACGATGGCCACAAGGGGTCGCCCTTGTGCTATGAATAGAAAATGTTTGGCAAATGTCTAGACAGAAGCCTTGTGGAGAGACAAACAGGCTGTGGGTGGGGGATAGCACATGTGACTTCCCTAATGTGGACCTTTGACAAGACAGAAGGGCACATCCACTCACCCAGTCCATAGGATATAGGAATCCCTTACGTTCTCATTGCAGTGGGAACCACGCTGTGATACTTCTCTCTCCTCCAACCCCCTCCTTCCTTCTTTCATTGCCTGTTGAGACTGGGAAATACAGACTCCTGAGTCCCCTAAGCCCCTCCCCAAATCTCGATGGCCTGAGGAAAGAAACTTAGATGTGGGGAGAGGGCGGGCCAAGTAGGGGAAGGTAGTTGACCTGGAAGCAGAGAGATGGAAGAAATGATCTTGGGACCAGGAAATGTCGGGATACAAGTACACGCCCTGAACAACCCAAAGTCTTGGAACCAAGATGTCTGGACCCTAGGGAGAAGGGAGCCTCTGGGAAAAAGGAGAAGGGAAAGGCAGCCAGGATACCTGGGAACAAGTATCCACTCCCCAAGACTCTTTGTTGGTCCCTCCCCCTTATCTCCTGCCTCTCGCTTATCTGTGGTAGTGGCCAGAGCAATGGAATCTGGAGATAAAGGACCTGGTTTAAAATCTAGGCTCTTCTATTTACCATTTGTGTGACCTTAGGCAAGTTGCCAGCCCATTTCTGTGCCTCAGTTTCCTCATCTATACAAAAGGAGGGTTAGACAAAATAATCTCCAAAGACCCTTCCTGGTCTAAATCTATAACCTCCCTCCCCCTCCAGAGAGAGTAGAAGGGCAGAGAGAGCTCAGGGAGGGGAATTGATCTGGGCTCATAGAATTATGGAAGAAACATTGGGTTTGGAATCAGGGGGTCTGGATAATCTGTGTGACCTCAGGAAAGTCTAGGCTTCAGGTTCCTCATCTGTGAAACCAGAATGCTAACACTTACCTCTCCTAGAGACAGGTTATGAAGAAAGCTTTGTAAATCTTACAGCACATCAGAAATGTGTTGTTATTATTATCATTGTGAGAAACTGAGGCCAGAAGCTCTGCAGTTTACTGCCTGTGGGACTTTGGGCAAGTCACTGGCCCTTTCTGGTCCTCACTCAATTGGTTCATCGTGTTTATTTGCTGATTAGGAAATGATTAGGTTGCATTAGGTGTCTTCTAAGGTTACTTGCAGCTTTGAGATCTCTGATTCTTTGAGCCTTGTGGGATATAGACAGCTGAAAAGTTCAAAGAAAGAGAGAAAGGGCTGAGGCAGTGGGGACTGGATCACGGAAGGGAGGATCTACTAGCCCTCTCCCCAGCCTTCCTCCTCTCTCCACACCCCTCCCCCCACCTCAGAGTGACCAGCCAATTAAAAAGCAGCCTCAGGGGTTACCATGGCAATGAAAAAGCCTTCTCTATGGGGAAAAGGATGAGGAGGCCAGGTGAGGATCTGAGAGCGAAGGAGTGGGTACCAGTAGCCGAGGGAAAAGGGTTTGGGTGGATTTGAAGAAATGAGATGAAATCACCCTCAAGGTTTTCATTGTTTGACTTGAAGAAGAGAGAAAGTACAATTGAGGAGCTTTCTGTGGAACCAGGGAAAGCAGTATTGACCCTATAGACAAAACGTCACTACCTGACAAGTCAGGTGACCTGGGTTTTAGTTAAGGATTTGGGATGAGTCATTATGTGGCCGGGCAAGTCTCTCCCCTTCTCTGGGCCTTAATTCCCTTATTTGTTTTTATTTATTTATTTAATTTCCTTATTTGTAAAAGAAGGGAGGTAGACTAAGTGATTTTTAGAGTATCTTCCAAATCTAAGACTTCATAATTCTAATTTAAGGAAAGACCTGATAGAAGGGCCTCTCCTGAAGAGAGAATTAGATGAGACCAATGCTAGGGAGTGGCTGAAACTGCAGTAGGAGAAATGGTAGCTAGACACCATGAAGAACTTCCTGGATGGGGAGAGTTAGAAGCTCCTTCTTTGAGGAAATGGAAAAAGAGGGGAGATCCCAGTCCCCTTCATGTGGGCAGGGACTATGGGAGCACTGGCATCCTTCCTAGAGGAAAGGTTATAGCTACTTCATCCATCCCACAGCATTGAAAAATGCAATGGCTCCTGGGGTGGTGTGGACTGCTAGAACAGAGGAAGGTGAAGGACAAAGTAGTGAGAGGAAAGAGAATCTGAGAAGTGTATGAAGAGGGGAGGTGTGGGGGAGGGGGCCTAACACTACTCCTCACTGAGGGGAGGGGGGGATGGTGCAAAAAGTGTTTCCTAACTGCCAGTTGAAGATATAAAGGCACATGGTCATAGTGCCAGAGGGGATAGGGCCCCCCCCCTCCTGCCCCTGTGGGTTTTCTGTTCTTAAAGAACACAGATGTATGCCCAAACACACAGAGCCGTGGTCATCTGCTCTTTACCAACTCCAACGGGATTGCTCACATTTTTCACTCTTTGTAGAATGTCCTCCCTCTCTCCTCTCTCCTTACAGAAATCTTACCTATCTTTAGGACCTGCCCATCAACGTTCTCCTCCTACAAGAAGCCTTCCTTGATGACCCTCCCTGACAGCACTCTCCCATTCCTCAGAAGTGCTCATTTAACTATTCATTTAGTCACTCACCTGCCAAACAGCATTTATATTCCTTGCCCCAGTCCATTATTGCCAATTTATTCTCGATGTAGCTTGTTTGTACATAGCTGTTTGCATGTCATCTCCCCATTAGATTGTGAGGTCCTTAAGAGCAGGGACTGTCTTTTGCCTTTGCCTTGCACGTAATAGGATCTTAATGTTTATTGATTGACTAAGGGCAGAGGCTGTAATTTTTATGTCCTCCACAAGGCTAGGTACTCAGTAGGTGCTCAGCAAATGTTTGAGTGAGGGAAGAAAATTGTAGATGAGTTATACTGGCCCATAACATACCCAGTCACACACATACATACACATACACTCAGACATGCAAGTATACAATCATTCAGACTCATAGTCATAGTCACGTGGGAGCCAAGACTCAGAACTCGAAGGAAATTTAGGGGTTATTGAGACCACACATGCACCATTATCTTACAGGAGAGGAAACTGACGGAAATGGAAAGTGATCTCCCAAGGTCACATAAGTAGTAAGTGACAGTACTAAGACTGCAACCCAGGTCCTCTGATTCCAAAGCCGGTGTTTCTTCCACAGAAGACATGCTGCCTTTTTTTTTTTTTGTATACAAACCCTCAATTGCACACACTGACACATACACAACTCCATTTAGGCACACACGACTCTCCACTCTTCCTTCTGCCTCTAAAGCCAGCAGAGGGCGCTGCCGCCCACACTGCCCTCCGGCTGGCCTTGCTCAGCTCCCTCAGACGCCCTCTGCTGGAAATAGGAGGTGCAGCAGTTACTGCTCTCCTTTCTCCCTCCCACCTCCCTGCTCCATGCGGATGGAGAAGAGAGGGTTGTTAGCAATTTCAGAAAGATCTAGTATGTGGGCCTTCAACCCAGAAAATAACAGCTATGTTTTTATTACACTTGTAGTGTGATTTTCTCCCAACAACCCTGTAAGGGAGGTAGTTCAAATATGATCTCCATTTTTCAGGTGCTGAGCACCGGAGGCAAGATTATCAAGGTCACACAGTAAGTGGTTGAGTCTAGATTTGATCTCGGGTCTCTTGATTGCAAATTCAGGGCTTTTTCATTGCACAACACTTTCTGGTGATCTACTTAATTCCTCCTCTCCAGGAAATCTCAATGCATCCTAATCTCCCCCTGAAATCCTCACATCCTCAATGATGTCTTACTCAAACCTCTGCCCCGCCCCCATCGCCCTCTCAAAACAGGAGAGTGACAATTTTTTTCAATGCGTTAGTTTTGCTGAACTGTGTTTTTTTCTTTTTAAATCCTTTTTTCATAAAGGATGTCTCTGTGGGAGGAAGAGAGATATGTCCAAAATGTAAGTGATATAAAAACAAAAGATACAATGTCAATAAAAATTTATTTAAAAAAACAGAAGGGACAGAAGACTCATTTTTTTTACCCAGGCTCTTTCTTCCCCCCTTCCTACCCTAACCCAGCCTCCCAGGAAAGAAATCTCCTGTATTCTTAAGTTGTAGCATCTTCCTCATTGGACTTGGGAGTTCCTAGAGTCCAACCACCTTGCTGGCCATTAACAACTATAATTCCTTCTACCTGGACTCTTCTCTTACAGATTGTCTAGACCCTGGAAGAATTCCAGCTGACCTAATACTGGAGGGATGAAGAGGAGAATTTTTCCAAAACAATGCTGATCCTGTTTTTATTCCTTTCCAGGAGCACATGAATACAAATATACACCTGTGTGCATATACAGGCACACACAGACACAACACGCACATCTTCAAGGCTTCTCACGTTGCTTTGCAACTGTGGGAAGATAAATCCAGGTGTTCTCATTCCGTACCTGGAAGAAGGACTGATGATTCCCTCTTCCTGTAAGCTTGTGTAAATCATTTCCCCTCTCTAGGCCTCAGTTTACTTACCTATAAAATTATCTACAAAATAGAGTTGTACTCAAGTTATCTTTGAGACACTTCCTAGCTCTGAACATTGTAAGATTCTATTATTCTAATGTCTCTAATTTGACTCCTGGGTTTTCAAGAATTTGGGAATAAAAGTGATAGAGGAAGAATCATTTATCCTGGAGCAATGCCAAGGTTCCTTTTCTCCCAGACCAGCATCTGCACTTCAGGGCTCACACTGGCCTCCCTACCTTTCCCCATTCCAAACCACAGGTCCTTAGGGCAAAATAATATATTTGGGAGACAAGTGGTGAGATAAAGATCATATGTTGAAAATTGTGCCATCTATCACCCATTTCATAAGCACATCCAAGAATTCCTCCAACCTGGAACCCTGCTTCACTGCTTCACTGCTCCCCAGCCCAGCTGTGCTCAGAAGCTGCCTTCTTCCTCCCTGGAAGTGGCTGATGGCTCTGTTTCCTAGTCAATTTCCTCCATGGCCAGTTCCTTCTCCTATATTTCATTCAGCAGAGTCCCAGGCCAATCTCAGCCCCACCTCAGAGTAGCCTCAGTCTTCTACACTTGCTCTCCCATCTGCCCTCTCCACCCACCCACCCACCCCTATTCAAAAGTCACATTTCCAAATGAGCCTCAGGATGCTATTTTCAAATTCCTTGTTTCAGGCTGAGAATGAGAAGAAAAATAATGGCTCAGCAAATTAATTAATTATTTTATTAGCCTGAGTAATTATTAATCAGGTCATTAATCACCACCAAGCTGTGCATTTGGAATAGTAATTACCTCAGGGGATGAGGAGGTTAGGGATGTGTGTGTGGGAGGGGGCTTTAGAGGAGAAGAGCTCCCTCTGTTGGCTTACATCACCTTCTGGCAACACCTGAATGCTCTAAGAACATTCATCCTCAGTAGGAACATTCTCTGTCAGTTTGTAGATGGGGAGACCAGCTTATGTCTTTGGGAACAGTTTCCTCAGAAGCCTGACCTCTGTCAAGAAAGACAGACAGACAGATAGACATAGGGAGAAAGAGAAATAGGTAATGAGAGCTGTGTGATGATAAGGTGGGATATGACTGGGAGAGAGAGACAGACAGACAGACAGACACACACACACACACACACACACAGATACTAGTTTGGGGATACATAATGACCTGACAATTAAGTCAATTGATTAAGAGGGTAAGCAAATAGATACAGATATAGCCAGAGACTGAAAAGAATTGGTAGAGATAGAAAAATAGAAAGAGAGCAAGGAAGAAGTTAGGGGGTCAGGGGGAGAAGGAGAGGAAGAGTGATAAGGAAAGAGGCAGGGAAAGGCCAGAAGTCTGTAATTATGTTAGGACTCTTGTTTCTCTCTCCCTTCTATCTCCAGACTCTCCTCCTCATCTTCCCTGCACCATTCCAATCTTCCTAGGTTCTATTTACCTTAACAGTCAGGAGATCAATCAATCAATATTAAGTGCCTACTATATGTCATACACTGGGGATAACGAAAGTCCTTGACTTTGAGGAGCCTACATTCTATGTGGCAAATCTTTCCCACTGTATTATAGACCCATTGATTCTTGCCTTGTTCTCTGTGTCATGACCTTTCAGAGAATGGAAATCTCTATTCTAGTCCTGCCCCAACACTGACTCACTCAGCCTTCTCTTCTCCAAGACTAGAAGTGCCTAACCCCATTGTTTCATTTGGGGTTGATAGTCAGTTGTGAAGTTGTGAACGATGAACCTGGCATAATAGAACTCTCCACTGCTCTGAGAGTCAAGGAACCTGGGTTCTAATCCTAGAACTGCCATTTATTGGTGTGTGACATTGTGCAAGTCCCTTAACTTCTCTGGTCCTCAGTTTTTCCATCTGAAAAAAGAAGGGGTCAAACTTCAGAGAATGCACTCTGGGGTCCCTTCCAGCTCTGATATTCTGTGAACATCAGCCCCAAGTAACTGTTTATGGTCAGTTTCACTCCTTGTTTATAACCTGGGCCCCCACAGTGAGTGGCTGGTCAATTTCATTTATGAATCTCCACTTCCTTTCCCATGCCTTCCTCCTGATTAGTGTTCACCTATTGTCAGGATTGCTTCCCCTTTTCTTACCCTTCCTAAGGGGGGGAGGGGGAAGTTAAGCTGGGAATTTTGACCCCAGATTCTGAGGTCCTGAGGAGTAGGGAGAAGATAGTTGGGGGGGTAAAGAGGGGGCAGGCATTCAGACTACTGGGTCCCAAGAGGATATGGAGGAATCAGGAGGCTAGGGGTTTTGACTTTTAGGAGCTAGAAAGGCGAATTGGGATTGGTTGGAGGTGGGGAACATAGTGGGGGCATGTGCCCCCTAGGAGTATAAGGAGGTGACCAACCCCTAAAGCATATCTAGGCATAAAAGACGGGAGACCAGAATTAGCCCTGAGAATCAGCCCCGGCTTCCTCTAAACCTCTGGAACATCTCCAGGCTTCAGCCCCAGAAGAGAGTCTGTCCTTCATTCCTATAACCTGTTCAGTGTATCATCTCTGCAGAGCTCCAGGGCGAGGGGGTTAGAGGGCAGGAGGTCAGGCTCAGGGGCAGCTCCTAACATGACACAGCCTGTCAGGAGGATAAACATAAGGACTGGGAATACAGCCCTTGTTAGGAATTCCTGTTAGCTCGAGATGGTAGGTAATGGTGCAAAGAATGGGAGGGGGGCAGGGAGAGAGTTCTCTGTGCGTGGTCTGGGGGTGGGGGGTGGGGAAGGGCGGGGAAGACCAGAAGGGTGGATGTTAAAGTGGAGAGAGGAGGGGAATACTAATGGATGGTTTCATCTGGAACCCCTACACCCATGGCACTTGAGGCTCTCCAAGCACTTAATTCATTTGGCCTTGAGGAAAGAAATGGGGCTGATCCCCTTTGGTCTATAATGGCCCTTTTCCACAGTCCTCACATAGCACTTTATTTTGTAATTTTCTAAATGTGCCTATCCTGTCATAGTTATTTACATTTATGTCTTATCCCCTTGGATACCATAAGTTCCTTGAAAGCAGGGGCAATACCTTATCTCCCTCATTTTGGACCTCCTTCCTCAGCATCATTGGCTGCACAGAGTAGACACTTAAAATATGTGTGTTGCTCCTCTCCTCCCCCCCTCTTCTTGGGGAGTCAGCTTCCTGGGGTACCTGTCTCTCAGTGGGGCAGCCCCTGATCCCTGAACGGGGAGAGGGGTAGCAACATTCCTCCTGGAGCTGAATTTCGGTCACGGTCAGTAGTTCTAGCCGAGCTCTCACCTCCATCCCTTCCACGGTAAGGGAACCCGTTCCTTTGGATCAAGGGTTTGACAGAGGGAGGCCGATTTGGGGTGTATTTGAGAGGGTGGGAGGGCAAAGGAATAGGAGGTGGTGATTGTGCAAGCCTAGAGGCCCAGCACTCATTCTCTCTTGTCCAGATTCCCCTACCAGTGCCGTCCATCTTCAGCTCGAGTCTGCAGTGTTATCTGGAAGACACTCCAGGGAAACAGCTCAGGCTCTGCCAGGACTTTATCTCAACTGCAGACAGACTCAATTAACCTCTTCCCATCCTCCCTCCATGTTCTGGGGGCACTCCCTAGAGGTCATTATTTCCATCCCTCTGACTCCTTAGCACCACTGTCTCATGCTGGGAGATCTCTGGGACAGGAGATCTTATGCCCCATCCCAACCCCACCCCCAAGTGTAAAGAACACGAGTTCTGGAGTCAGGGGTACCTGTGTTTAATGTCTTCATGCGCTTTGATGCCTGTGTGAACTTGGGTAAGTCACCTTTGCTGGGCCTCAGTTTCCATCTGTAACATGAGGGGGTTAGATTAGAGGATCTCTAAGATCCTTCCCAGTTTTAAATCCTGGGCATCCTAGTCATCACAAAGTCTCCCTCCTGCTTTTGAGAAGCCCTTCAAGCCTGCTCCCTATCCTTCCTGCTGCAGTCCCAATCACCTTCCTTTCCAGCTCCCCCATTCCAGCTGTTGACATATGTCCCCAGGGCTCTCCGAGCACCCTGTATAGCAAGATGCTAAAGGCTGTCATGGGAAGAGCAATGGTTCTGTAGCCAGACAACCTGGGTACTACCTATGTGACCTTGGTTAAGTTTTACAAACTCTCTGGGCCTCAGTTTCCTCATCTGTAAAATGAGGGGGAACGTACTGTATATCTCTAAGGTCTCTTCCAGCTCTAAATTCTATACTCCTATGGATTATCAGGAAAACGCTTCTTTCTCTCCACCTCTACCATAGGGCTCATTTCCTCGGAGGCTGAGAGATGGCAGGAAACTGGCATGCTGTTCCACCTATGGCCAGAAGAGGGCAGCTTAAGCAAGCTCAGGATAGCCTAGGCCAGGGGCTGAGGATGAAGGGGACCTCTGAGGTGTTGAGGTGTTAGGGCCAGAGAAGGTGAAGGGTGGGGGATGGGTCAGAAGAGATTCCTCCAACACCAGCCTCAGAGGAGAAATAGAGGCTTGGAAGATATGAAGATTATCCAAGGGACCAGATCTGGGAGGAGGGGGGGGCAATAGTCTGTTCTGGAGCCAAGCACCCCATTTCTCTTAGGATTGATGCTCCAACCTCCACGCCCAACCAAACATAGAAGGCTTGAGCTCCATTCAGAAAACATTGCTCCTCATCTAGGAGGCTGCCTCTCCAAGTCCCCTCCCCATCAAGGGCAGGATTAAGATTCTCCACCCCACCCACCCAAACATATACTCATGAATATCCTCTTCATCCTACCCTGGGGCCAAGGAGTCCAGCCACCCAGCCCCCTTTCCGGGATAATCACAGCCCTGTCCTCCAGACCTATTACCCTGAGGGGGAGGAAACAGCAGAAATCCGGCCTGCCCCACCTCCTCCCCCCACCCCACCCCCAGTCCTGGCCCAAATGGGTTCAAAGGAGACAGGGGAGGGGATGTGAGCCTGGGACAAGGCAGTGGAAGGACACCCCCTCCCCCACCCCAGTGATTTCTGCCTTCCCTGGCCAGGCCAGATGCCATCAAGGGCCAGGAGACAA